CATCTCGAATCCGTTGCCTGGTTTGTTCTTTACACCCCTCAGGGTCTGTAGGCTTCCCTGGTCCCAAAGCATCTCTGTGGTTGCAAGACCAATTCTCCCTCTCTTGTCTATTACTTATTGACTTCGATTTGAAAGTCCTAACTGACCTTGCATCGGCTGCTGCTTTTCTGTTTGTCCTTCGATGCACTTTCCCATTATTGGTTTTACTTATACCTCCAAGGTGTTGTCTAGCACGTACCCTCTTTGTTATCTCTTTCCATTGTTGCAAAGCCACAATATTGATTACAATATGCATGTCAGAACCTGAATTTCACACCTTACATTAAGTGTTAATCTAAAGAGTCATGTTATTTACATTCCGGCAACATCTTTGCTATTAAGCTGCCTTTCCTTTTTTCTCTGTCTGTTCAGCTAAGGGCACTATCACCATTCAAGCTACTGTAACTGCTGAGTGCTATTTATATGAGAACAGTCAACCTTTGCTGCTCTTGTAAACATAAAGTGCATCACCTCCTGTCTGCCAGAGGATTTCTCCTGTGATCCAACCAGACATGAAAGTTCAGAACAGTTAATGCTTAGAATCTTTAAATTGAATGACCGTCGTGCTATATATGAAACGGTGAGTAGCAAAATATGATATTTGACAGTGTCATTCTTTTCTCACTTCTGTTTCCCATAAAAGTACAGCAAGCACACAGGGAGTGCCAAACCTGTTTTTTACAACACAAGTTCTGTAGAGTGAGCATCCTCTGTTGCTGTGGTAAGTTTTAATGTAACTGCACTGAGATTAAGCTCCATTTTTTACAATGAAGGAGCACAACCACACCCTTACAAGGGCTAAGTTTGGCTCTCATCATAAGACCATGCGGAAATGTGTGACGAGAGTATGAGTAGTCTTTCTGTGCCTGCCTGTCTTTTCCTCTCTCCTACTGTCCTTCTCACACATGTTTGCTTAGCATGTGAATGTTTGTGTAAATGTGTGTGTGGAGGCTACACACAGCAGCTGTCAGTGTGTGTGTGATGTGGTCTGAGTCAGCTATCGGGGGTTGTGATGGTTATGTGACGGTCTGGGAGGTTAGAGAGAAAAAAGCAGATGAGTAGTGCTGATGGTTACCCAGCTGTTGCATCATCCTGGGACACTCAGTGGAGCCAGATGCTACGTGGAGAGCAGCAGCCATGTGTTGCAGTGAAGAAACATATGAGGTGATGATGATTAAGGAGCCGGTGCTCACTGACGCAACTTCCGGTATCCCGTCAGCTTGTGCTTGTGATTGGCTGGTTCAGAGTGGAGGGAAGAGATTTGAATTGTTGAAAAGACGGAGGACGGAAACAAACGGAAACATAGCTGTAAAAGCAATTAATCACAGCTGATAAATCGAATCATCCAGGACCACTTTGTAACCCCCTACTTATTTTTATTTTCTGAACATCCTATTATTATATCATGAAAAGTAATAACAATGCTTATACTCATTTGATTCAAATCTGTCCATTGTTAGAGTTTAAGATGATTTTCCTCATGACGATGTGATTCAGTTTCTTTGAGTTGTGAATTAGCAGCCTCACTGAAGATAACACATATTTTTTCAGGCATTTCAGACAGTCAACAAATCAACATAAGCACTAAAGATGAGTGTCCACCACAGGAAGTACTGTGCATGCTTCCTGTCCTTGCCATCTCCTCCACACAAAGAATTCACAGTCAGCTTGGAATAATCCTGCCCTTTCACTCCTCAGTTCTGTGTGTGTGTGAGTGTGTGGGAGATAGTATAAGTGTTGGTCTGGGAGTTGGGGAATTCCTGCCAAAACCATGAGGTCACCATTCCTCCTTATTAGCCTCAGTAAGAAAGCTGGTGAATGGGTAGCATGAGGATTAGAGAGAAACGGGACTGTTAACAGTTTGTTTTTGTCAGTACTGAAACGCTGAAAATATCCATTACCAATATTTTAACTCTCTTCCTGCTTTACATTTCAGATGATAACTTTTAGTGTTTACTGCTGTAGGTCTGTCATTAATGTGAAAATTAGCAAAAAATGATGAATCATAGTGAGTCAGAGCAAAATGGGTGGAATGATTGGTTCCCCTAAAATTACAAAAAAAAAGGTCTTATTTCCCTGAACACTTCTTTATTGTAATTACTTTTGCGAATAATGATGCTTGTTGTCACTGTTTGTTAATCTGCAGATTATTTTATCAAATAATTGTTTTCAATAGAGCTGCAACAATTTGTCATTTATGTGAGAATTAGATACTTTGCTTTATCAAATACAGTAGTAAATTGACTACTAGTTTTTCACTGTTGATCAGACAAACAAGCCATCTGAAGACATAATCTTAGACTCTGGGAAATTACAACAGGCATTTTTAAATATTTTATATCCCGAACAATTAATTGAATAATTAATAGTCGCAACCCTAGTCTTTTATTTAAAATGTCAAACAGCGGGGAAAAATGTTGATTGGAATTTCTTGCAACCCAAGGTTTCAAATTGCCTGGTATTTCTGACCAACTCTTCAAAAACAAATCTATTTTTTTTGTCCTTTTTCATCAACAAAGTTAAGTGAGAAAATGTTTTTTTTGTAATTTGGGTGAACTGAGTGTTTAACGTTAGGACTGTAAGGAGCACATGTAAAGCAGACAGTATTTCCTTCTCAGCTGTCTCTCCTTAGTCTGGGCCACCACTGCATTCCTCCAGCTGTGCCATCTCTTTTATGTGTGATAGCAGAAGTTTTTTTAATGGCACCACACAGGCTGGTATGCATCTTATTCAGGCTCCTCGACCACATTCTCGTTAACCTGGCAGTCTGCAGTGAGTTTGATACTTTGGTTACAGTGGGGAGGGGCAACCACACATAATTATAGTGTAATGGCAGTGCCTTTCTTTGTAGGCTTTCTCTGATAATGTATGCATAGTGTGTTGTTCCAGTGTTGCATCCAAACACAGTACCTGATCTATATTCATAATATCTGACACGTAATGTGGTCATGTAACTGCAGTGTTGCCATGGTTGGTAAATAGTGTTATGAATGGTGACAAAGCAGAGGACAAACATCTTATATGTATGAGGTTGTAATTTGGCTAGTGATGATATGTTTGGATTTATTTAAGTAAATCGAATCTTGCATCTTTGGTCCCTCTTTCCTTGAATTTAGTTATTACACTAATGTCAGGATGAGTTATTTTGGTGAAAGACACAGAAATGTATTATGGTGAAAGTTTGAAAGATTTAATTTGGTTAAGGTTAGCATGAGTTTAATGTTATTGTTAGTGTAATGGGTAATAGATTCAACTAAATGGTAATTATAATGGTAATAATTTTTGTTTTATTGATTATTTCTCAGAAATACAAAAGTCTGGACCATTCTAGACGGAACCAGTCTTACCAATGACCTGTCGCAGGTCTTCCTTTTACTCTTCATCCATATATTTCATCATGCTCTTCAAAAATGACAAAAAATATATTTTGAAAAATACTTATCTGTGACTGCAGATTACATATATCACAGTACTTCACAACTGTCTCAAAGTTTAATACATCATATAAAATCGCTACTGGCATGAAACGCTCATCCCTCTGACATCAGAGTTTGTACAGTCACGTTCCCAACAGCGTCAGGAACCGTCAGAGGTGTGCAGTTGATTAAAATTTTACCCAGGGGATTATTGAGTTGGTATACCAAGTACTTATGAGGTCAAGTGAGCAAGAGCTTAGCTCAATAATCTTTAATTCCTTCTCTGATGAGCTTTTCTTGGCACTTTCTACATACGACAGAGCTCCTGTTATTTTAGTGACATTTGAAATTACCATGAAAAGCTTCCCTTTAAAGCCTATGTTTAACTTTGGAATGAATGATTATGAGAATATCCCACCAATCTGACCAATCACTCAACAAGCCATTAAACAAAACTCCTAACATGCGATGTAGTCAGTCAGTAAGGAAACAGCCATACAGATAACATGCTGAATGTTGCTCTTCTAGGCCGGGGCAGTTAGTAAGTCAGAGTGGCTGGCTTTGACCTCCTTTCCAGCTCATCTGAAGGAGAGCGAGGGGAGGAGGGAGACAGGAGGGAACATAAATGTCCTGCTGGTGAGGCCGGCCAACATTCCTACATCACTTCCTCCTCTAACATCTGGCAATGATCAGGGCAGGCAGAGAGAGAGAAAGGATGTGTCTTACTGGCTGGCTTAGTGTTCATTTCCAGGCGTAGACAGTGAGGCATCACATTGCAAGACCGCCCACTCAATCTCATTCCCCCTACCAGCAAAACAAAATGAAGCAAGATGGAGTGGGTTGAGTCAGTGTATCTCCAGCAATGTTTACACTTTGCCTAATATTCTGCCGTCGTATTTCATCTTTTCATATGTTCTTTCATACATCGCTACTAATTCTATTATGTTGAATATGATGTGTTCTTCTGCCTGTGTGAGAAGTGAAAAAGAAAAAAACTAAACTCTCCCTCTTTCTTCTCTTCTCTCAGGATGGCCTAGCTGTGTTGTGCTGTCAGTGGTCTATCAGCAGTGAGCTACCTGGACCAGAGGTGTGTAGTACAACTCACTAAAATAAATTCATTCTCAACTTTATAGAATTGAAAGTGAGTGTCCCTGCTGTTTTTTGCTTACTGTCTTCAAAACTTTTTTCCATAATTCTCGAATTTAGCAACTATTTCCGAATTTTACTAGAATAAACTACTTTTTTTTAAAGGTGATGCACTAAGGTTCATTTAGATTATGAGATTCAGGATCTTTCTCATAACTGTTTCACTAGGTGTTTGAAGAATGGCTGTCGCATGGATGTTCATATCATGACATGAGGACAGAATAACATTTAAATTGAGATCGCATGTAAATATTTCAAGCTGTGGCAGCAGTTTTACAGCTGTGAGATCTACTGCAGCTAAATGACAACTCTGTTCATTGAATTACAGATTAGTTAAACATAGATGTGTTTGTGTTTGTCCCAGCAGGTGTGTACCAGAGGCAGTAGCAGGGTGCAGAGATGAGTGTGACCTCTTGGTTTCTGGTGAGCAGCGGGGGCACTCGCCACCGACTCCCCCGGGAAATGATCTTTGTCGGCCGGGATGACTGCGAGCTCATGCTACAGGTGAGAACACGTCACACACTAATTTCTCCACTAACACTGCAGCTTCAATGAAGCAGAACAGACGAGATGTGTCTTAGTGAGTTAAACATAAATAAGTTTTAACATAATATGAGAACTGGATACACACATAGCCTGACTTCCATTTGTACCTCTCAGTCACCTTAATAGGCTGCTGACCTCACACTGATCTGTGTCAAGCTGAGTCTGACTGAGGACAATACATATGAGCTGCAGTAGCAGAGCATGTTTATATGCCTGTGTGTGTGTGTGTGTGTGTGTGTGTGTGTATATATATGTGTGTGTGTGTGTGTGTATATATATGTGTGTGTGTGTGTGTGTATGTATGTGTGTGTGTGTGTGTGTTTATGTATGTGTGTGTGTGTGTGTCTCTTAGTGCACTGAAGTGGTGTCTTTGCAGCTGTGCATACATCCAGGGACCACGAGTATGCTCATGTGTACCTCTGGTCACCGCACTATTAATAGAAAGTGGGGCAGATACCTCTAGAGTTAGATCTTATCTGGGCTGAGTCGGTTGTAGTGGGTGGAGGGTGCATCCACCCAGCAGCACCCTCTGTTATGACATTGCATGCTGAGAGAAGTTGTTACTGGGACCAGTGCCTCTCTAACAGTCTGACCATCAAGAAGTCATTCAGGACTCTCACTGATATTTATTCATTTTTACTGTGTTGGTGGAAATTAGCCTCACTTTCACATTAGGATTACTGTTTTATGAAATTTCTGAGGCTTTATATTATATTATCACATTAAACTAAATTTCTTTTTATGTTCCTGCTTTCTATACAGCACTTAATAAGTTCTTTTGTAATGTAATTATTATTGGTGAGAATAAATCATGCTCCATGCTTTCTTAATACTATTTAGTTCCGTTGGTGGCGTCGTTCCTAACAGTGTCAAATCGCAGAAATCTAATCCAGTAATGGGATTTATGGGTTGAAGAGGAAAGCATAACAGTAGAATAAAAGCATGTTTAATGCATTTCATTTGTGAATGAAAAGTAGTTCATGACCGATTAAAGTTCCACTTTTTAAAATCCAAGTTCACAGTATCATTACCCTGTTTTTCTCAAAACTTTCATTTTCACTTGAGAAGTTTGCTTTATTCACTGACATGGCTTCTCTACCTCATTACCAACATCCTGCATGATCACTTTAAACTCTTCAGTTGTGAGAGAGAGAGTGTAAAAATAGTCAGTATGGTATTGCCTACCTTTATTATTTCACAGACATCCCAGATATTACATGTCATTGGATCTATTGTTTTTGATACTAGTGTCGGAAACACAAAGGAGTCTGCCATTGAACAGAAGACGGTTTAATTGGTGAGCGCCACTCAAAAAAAAAAATATATTGACATACTGCCCCACTGATGTAAATTAGGGGCCAACATATTTTTTGGGTCAAATACATACAAAATATTTTCCTGTGATATTATTTTTGTTTCAGAGTCTCCATTTTCATCCAATTTTATCAATTGAGACAGAAAAAAATCTGTTAAGATAATAGAGTTTGTTGTTGTTTGTTTCTGAAGTGTTTATGTCACACAGTCTAAATGGAGATGACACAAACCTTACTTGAAGTTTCAAAGCACATTCAAACACAACTTTTTTGCACCCTAGCAGTGTCACAAGGATATGTTCTACACATAAAAATGCATACAGTAAAAATGACTCTCTGATCTGCAGCTTTTGATCCTATCACCAAATCTCTCACTTTTTTTTTTGAGAACTTTTTTGAGAATTCCTCATGTTCTTGTTGTGGTTTCACTTCTTCTTGTGGAGAGATTGTTCTGTTTGAAAGGTCAAGAATTAATCTCAAACATACCACTTCATTTATGAAGACATGTCACAGTTATAGACTGCAGCACTATGTCTAAGTTTGACCATGTTGCCCTTTCAGTCTTGCGTTTGCTGTTTTGTTTTTTTTACTAGTTTCACAGCTGGCCTCTCAAACTTCCAGAGAGCAGTACTAAGGGTAATTTACTGAAGCATGTGGAGTTGTTAAAGATCTGTTTTACTTTTCAATCGCTTTCCTATAATATGTCTCTGATGACCTGAGGGTCTACTGCTCCTGCATGTGAATGTGTGTGTTTCTGTGTGTGTTTTAGTATTCCTATCCTTGTGATGTCTTTGGAACTATAGAAAAATGAGGGGAATCTTCCAAATCAAGGACATTTTTTGACTTAGCGTGTGTGTGTGTGTGTGTGTGTGTGTGTGTGTGTGTGTGTGTGTGTGTGTGTGTGTGTATTAGACTTTGTGTAGCTGCTTACAGTTGTCATCCATGTGACTGCCTTAACAAGGCAAGTCCTCATCACATGGCTGAACGTTAAGTGCTGCTCGTGTCATGCACCAAATAAAACACACTCACTCGCGGACAAATATAAAAACTTCAAATGATTGTATTACTGAGAATCATCACACTGTTAGATGAGTGGCCCGAGGGAGTGTGTTGTAGAAGTTTTGTTGTCATCTTGTGAAATTCGCCAGCAGCTTGTTTTCTCCATCAATCACACACACATATATATGCTTCTGGCAGTTGTGCTGTTTGCAAACTGTGATCGGAATGGGTTCTGACTTTATTTATTTATTGGCAAGGGGGAGGAGCGTATTGAATACAGGAACACAGTCTCCATGATGTCAGCCTGAATCATACAATATATTTTTCCTCCGGGTAGCAATGAACTGGATAAAAGAAGTCAGTGAGGATTTTATAGCTTTTTCTGTCTTTCAGAATTATTTGTTCTATCTCATAGCTCAGCTGATCTGAAGTGTGTGTGTGTGTGTGTATTTCCTCATTTGAATACAAATGTGCCTCATGTCTTTATCTCTTCTTCTTTTCATAATTTTGTCCCTTCTCTTTCTCTTTCACTCACTGCCTTTATCCACAATATTCATATTTATTAATCCCCATTTTGCTGAAGTTTACTGTATCTGCTTGTTTTGAAAAGTTAGTTTTCACTTCAGATGTTTTTCTTTTTCCACTCGGCTGACCCTCACTTTTTAGATACTCCACATTTGTATTCTAAGTTGCCTCTGCTTGAATTCAGCTGGTCAGCAGTATATCTGTAACACCATGCGTCTGCTCTCCCCTGCAGTGTGAGGTACAACAGGCAGCTCAATTGCTTTCTATCCTGTTTGATCTGGCCTAATCTCACTTAGATAATCTGTTCAGTGGTTGGTTCTCTGGCGCTGCTTCCCTTGGCTTTACTTCAGCGTTATATGAACATTTTTACTATATTTTTGCTCTCCAGTTGTCTTCTTGTTTAAACAAAGGAGTGACTGGTGTGTGGGTAAGAGTCATATGAAGACTGAATATGAGATTCAGCTCTCAGAATCAGCACCGATTGACCTCAGTACAATAAACTCATTCTTGCCAGGATCTCATTCCTCACATTACTTACTTTTTGGTTCCGGTTGTGTGATTCATGAGTCAGACAAAATGATTCAGTTGCACAACATTTCAGCACCAGTAATGGATTTGTTAGATGGACCCATGTTTATACATATTCACATATTAATCAGAAATTTGTCATTTGTTATACTGGAATTTAACATCAGTTAAGCAGCTGCAAACTCAGACATTGCAGATTTTTGATTCACTAAAATAAAAATTCAAATAGAATCTGCTAATGCCAACATTACAATCAATTATTCCAGGGCAAGGTGCCACTTAGTTTCTTATATTTTATTGATGTATCTGAAGGGCCTTCTAAGAGACATTTGGAGACTGCAGAAAATTTGCTCACCAGTCAATGTCAATGCATACTGTCTAGGTATGTTCTATGGCATTGATATACGAGAGAGATATTTGCCAGATTCCACAATACCGAACCATACAGAAGGTTGCAGTGTTGGTGTTGGAAACCATTTATCCTCAAAACAGCTGACGGGCTCATATCTGCACACTGCAGAAAATCAATTCTTTCACCTCCAGCCCTTCATTACTCCAGTTCTCCTTTATGTGTGTATGTGTGTGAGTGTGTGTAAAGGTGTGTGTGAATGTGAAGGTGTTGGTAAGATGTGCGCAGTGTCCAAGACATTGAAATACCTGCTGATGTGCTCTGAGTTGATATCATTGTAGATATCATACATAGTAACATTGAGACTTGCTATCAAGGTTGCATTCTTGACATAGGATGCTGATACCTCCACAGAGCTTTAACATAGCAGAGTTTTCTCCAGTCTCACACAGCCCTCTAATGGTTTGTGTATGAAACAGTTGCGTTTATGCAGTTTATGCACTTTCTCTGTAACCTTGATGCAGCACATGTGTTGAAAAAAGCTATGCAAGACATTTTGACATAAAGTGAAACCAACATTTTCCTCTTTCTGTTAATAAATCTGGACCAACTACATTTGATCTTAAATATCAGATCTCAATGATCATCTTAAGTTCACAAGTGTTACCCTTTGGTTAATGTTTTTTATGTTTTTGTTTGAAGTCCCGCAGTGTGGATAAGCAACATGCAGTCATCAACTACGAGGCTGGGACTGATGAACACAAGGTCAAGGACCTGGGCAGCCTGAATGGGGTGAGTACACAGATAGAAACGTGCAAAACAGAGAGAAGTTTGGACAAAGATAAATGTACGAAGAGAAAGAGGAGGTAGACAGGACAGAAATGAACAAAGGAGAGAAGCAGGGTCACATGATGGATGAGGGATGGGGAGAGATAAGGGAATGAGTTGAAGCATCTGGAGGAGGAAAAAGAGGGTTTAGAGGGAGATGGATGGAGAATGCAAAGATGGAGAAACATCAAGAGACACAGGAAAAAAACCCCAAAGACATTCAAGGTAAAAGTAGAGGGAGATGAAGGAGGTTGTGAAGGGTTAGAGGTTAACTTATTTTTGGCGGTCAGTGGGACTAGGACCTAATCAATCTCTGTGTCAATGAAGATTTATATCAGGGCTGAGGTCAGTTTGAATCTAAACCTAATTATGCAAATCACTACTTAAGGGCACAGTCTGTGATTCAAATATGAACCAAAGGGTCACTCTGCTGCTAAAACTCAAAACACATTTAGACCTCACTCCAAATTGACATTAGTAGAGATATTAACATGAGGCAACGACTAAACACAGCAGGACAGTAGGCAGGAAGGAAGCCAGTGTATGAGAGGCAGAACAATTACTTTAGTGCATGGTATATTGGAGGCTGGTGTATTATCATTGAATAATTGATCAAATCTGGTTATAATCATTTCATTAATGGAATTTCAGGTGACATTTGCAACCAATCATATTATGTTTTAATAGGGTTGTTGAAAAATACAGTGTGGCTTTTGTTCTCTTTTTGTAATCTTTTTCTAGTGTGTGGAGAAACACACTGTATGGTAAAAAAGTTATTATTTAAAAGGTATTTTGGGAATTGATTAAGCAGATTAACAGACAGAAGATACACCAAAACTTACACTATACACTTCATAACAAAATAAAAAAAAAATCCAAACATTTTTCTGGCTTTTTAAAGTGAATTTTGTATTATAACCTTGAGAAGCCCATTTAAACTGTGTATTTCTCTGTACACCCTCCATGTTTGTCTCTTTGACATTGTAGCTCAGTAAAACCCCAGTTACAGTTGCCACATGATGTTAGTCATGTGCAGTGATTAGTACTCAGTCACAGTCCACCACATTGTACACATATGCAGAATGTCCTTCACATCCTCTCCAGCTCTCAGACAGGAAGTCAGAGTCAGAGCCACTTCCTGCTGTGTCATTAACCATTCAGCTTCTTTAGCTGGATTCAGAGGAAGTTTTTTCCTGCTGACTCAGTAGATATGTAGAGATTTACCACAGCAGTGAGTAAAAAGCTGTGTTCGGGCGGTGCCACCATTTACTGTCTTTACTCGAGGTCTTTCACTGCTGTGTTTCTAAGCTGTCATGTTTTCAACTCATTAGAGAGGAGACAGGAATGTTTTATTACAACAGCAGTGCAAGTATGATGGAATTTCATTTGCAGTTTAGTGAAACCTGATCTATTTCAGAACTGCATAGTAAGAGGAGGAGTGAAAAGGGGGGAACGGGTGGGGGAGAAAGAAAGAAAACAATTTAAGTGTCATGCTCAGGCCTTTAGTCTCAGCTGTATAGATTTCTCATAAAGAAACTTAACTGTTCAAAGTGGCTTCATGCTTACTAGGACCTTACTGACCACATGCAAATTTAATATTACTGTCTGGCAGCAAGAATTCCCCCTGTGAGTGAACTTCGGAGTTCGGACTGTTGTTATTGTAATTATTGGTATTATTCACTATTTTCAATATTTTTAGAAATGATCGATTAACTGAAAAACTTATTGTCAGACTATTGAATAATGAATATAACTGGTAGTTGCAGCATTAATTAACTGCTGTGTGTGACACAACTTGCACCACTTTAATCAGATGCCTGTTAGAGGTGTTATCTTCCTTTATACATTTTCTTACATTGAAGCTTCTTAGAAAGAAAGATTTTATCTGTTCACATATACACATAAATAATAGTTGAATTTGTGTTCATTTTGTGTTAATGTTGTTTTTTTCCTTCCCTCTGCAGACCTTTGTAAATGATGTCCGCATCCAGGAGCAGATGTACATCACTCTGAAGTTGGAGGACAAGCTGAGGTTTGGATATGATATCCTTTCACTTGTCTGGTTTTCTAACCTCTTCAGCCCTGACACGTCCACCTGTGGGTTCATCATTCCAAAAACAAGCCAAGCATTGTTCAAACTTAAATATTATTATTTTAATTCTGACCAAGATAGCAAATTTTTACTGTGTATTATATGAATACAGTAAAATGCATGTGTATGTACATGTATCATAATTGTGCTTATGTTGCCAGTATTTCCCTAACCATCTAAATCACATACCAACCTGTTCACGGTGGTGAGAGGAGAGCTCACTGTGCCTGAGGAGGCTCTAAAGGCAAGAACATACACACATACACACACATCCATACACAACCTGACACAAACTGTTAAGTATCAGTGTTCGCCATGATACATAGTCGTATCATACTACTCTAAACGCATCTCTATCCCTATCTAGCATGAAAAGTTCACCAGCGGCCTCCAGCTCAGCAAGAAGCCATCCAACGGTGAAACCACTACCACCACAACCACAAGCAAGTCTCCCGCAAAGACCCCAACAAAAACACTGAAGTCCCCCAGTGGAGGCACCCTCAGGCTAGGGGAGAGCAGAGCAACAGATGGAGTCAAACAGCCACCAGCTAAACCTGTGGACAGTCACAAAGCAGAGGACAGGATAGGAGGTGAGAGGCAACAAAGGAAATGTGATCCTGTCTCAGAAATAGTATGAGCTTATTTTAGTGTTTGTCGTGCACTGTTAGTACCAACTATATAATGTGAATTGAGGGGAATTTGCTGTGTTGATTTGATCTGTTTATATTTTTTCCTTGAAATGTGTATTTACTGACCACTATCACAAGTCCACTCATTTCTCCTTTTACTTTTAAATATAGAGACAATACCGAAAGTCACATTTTGCAACTGTGTTAATCCAAAGATAGGGTTGATAACAGAGTATGAGATATTATGGCAGCACAAAAAGTACTTACAATTCATTATGGCCTTATTCCTCTATATTAAGCTGTACTAAAATATATGGTGACTTTCTACAACCCTGAGAGTACTGGCTTCTCTGTTCTACATTCATACTGTATATTGTAGGTAGAGACATTTCATAGTCCACATGATTCTAATTTCTTCTCTAAGAAAAGACATTTTCAGACAGAATACTGTGAAGTCAAGTGTGGTGGGGTTTTATCTCAGGCCAGTAGGGGGTGGACGTGGTCACCAGGGAAAGGGCTTTAACCACCACACCAACAGTCACTCTGTTATATCATGAATGTGGTTAAGGTCTGAGGGTGTCCCTAATAACTGACGTCACTAACCAAGCTGGGGTGCTAGCAGGGGTCCTGGATAATCTCCAGATGTTAAACAAGGCCATGTGGGGCTTGTGTTATTGCACAGATTAAGCAGTAACAGGGTCAGCGTGCCTGCATAATGCAAACCCATATGCCAGCACTACTTTTCTTAAAATACAGTAAGATTCACAGGCACGCACATTCTTTTGCACATTTGGGCCAAAAACAAGCATACATCCACGTACGGTGTTGCATGTCACCCCATCTGCTGCATATGCCTTTAATGACAACCTCTCTGTGGTTCTGAGGATGTAATCCTGCAATATTACTACTGTAATACCGCACCTCACCCAGATATTATACCTCATGTACAACATATATTCAGTAGCTTTTATATAGAATGCCCCTACCTACTGCACACAATTTGGCACAGAGCATCTATAATTATCTAGCTATACTGTAATTAAACTTTCACAGCTCAGGAGAGGGGGTACTTAAAGAAAAGAAGGTAAAGGAAGAGGAAATAGCAGAGAGAAGTTAACACAGGATGAGGCATCCTCTGGCACAGTGGTCTAAGAGGCAGCATCACCAGTTCAAATCCGGCTGGAAACCTTTGTTGCATGTCTTCCCCCCTCTCTCTCTCAACTATGTTTCCTGTCCCTTTTCTTTTGTGCCGTCCACTTTAAAAAAGAAGTTGCCACAGTACGCTTGTCACATGTCAACTTTCGTTCTAATGGGTACAGACAGGCAAACGGAAAAGTCTCTCTTTTATTTAAACCGTGTGTGTCAGAGAGAGAGAGAGAGAGAAAGAGAGCGAGCATGAGGGAGAGAGTGTGCACTATGTGTGCCCATCCTGCTTGCTAAAGTTCTGAAAATAGGTCAGTGGTGCAAGACCCGGCCAGAGGGGAATTAATGCACAAACACACACGTCTACAAACAGCAGCTGGGTTCACTTTGTGGCACCATGATACAATGAACAGTTTATGTTGACAGTACCAGAGTATGTAAAGCAGATAATAAACATGGCAGTCCACAGTTAAAGCTACTGCTGTACTTTCTGCAAGGCTTTGTTAAAATGTGTCTGCATGTGTGCATCTGTCTTAGGGGATGTTACAGCACTGCCTCGTGGGACCCCTCTGTACGGCCAGCCGTCTTGGTGGGGGGATGGGGACGCAGACGATGAGAACTCCTTCAAACAGGAAACCAAGTCATCCACCAAAAAACATGACAGCTCCATGTCAGGTAGGATGTGTTTTAAACTTCTAACTATCATCACACACAGCGTCCCCCCATAATGCAAGTGAAGACAAAGATGCCCAGAGTGGTTAAAATCTTTGAAGTGGACAAGTCTGAAGACAATATCTTATTCCCAAAACATGCCAAATGAATGATTATACCAGCTTTGGCTTGGAGCAAAGGTTGTAAAAGATTTTACAGGACATCAACAGCTTTCACTGCACTGCAGTTAATTTGATGTTAAATGATGTAAAAGCAACAATTACAACTTTTTTTGTGTGAATATACTGCTTTGTGTATTCTGTCTGATTTCATACGGAATTGGATGTAATAGTGACGTCTTTAGTTTTATTGTAGCACATCTAACACACACACCATCTTTTCTGTAGTTTGAGTGGAAAGTTACAAATTGCATCATTGTTTTTGTCAGCCAGACTGTATGTTTGTATGTGTGATCATGCATATGCGAGTGCACACAAAGGCTTTTTTCAGAGCCTCTATGTGTGCCTGTTTGCCTACAATATGTGTACGTAGTGACCGTTGGACTGGGGGGGGGGGCTGGTCCCGTTAACTGGTGGTGGATAGTCAGAGTAACAGGATTAGAGGATACACCAATAGTAAAACAGCTCAGCGAAGCAAAATCAGTCTGTGCCAGGCTGGTTTAGTGTGGACCAGTGTAGTCAGAAGGAGTGGGGGGAGGTTAATCAAACACTGGAGCAGACTGAAGCCTCCTCAAATCTCTCGCCACATCTGGATGCTTACATTGGCAGCGTCTTCACCAGCCTAAAAAAAAGAAGACTTTGTGTACTTGTAACAATCAGTGAGGAACTTTTTCTATATGTTACCATGCAGATTTTTCTGTGGAGTTTAGCAAAGTATCTTTTCTGTTAGAGTGAGATTAGAAAAGACTCATTTTGGAGTAAATCTGTATAAGCGTGGCACGGTGATTGGAATCCCTGAAAGCTTTCCAAAAACATCAGCCGAATGGGATTGGCTACTTCAGTCATGGAAGAGGGTGAGTGGCAGGCATTTTGCCCTCTTGTAGCATTGACTTTTAGCCTGAGTGCTGGATGAATGTTGTGATGTTGGATTTGTTATGTGAAGCAGCATGCTCCACGGGGTGTTGCACTGTGTATTTATGTAGATTACATGGACCTCAGTGTTAAAAGGGGTTCTTATCAGTCTACATGTTTTTAAAATAGTGTGAGCACACCCTCTATATCTGCTCTAATAAACTGTTAAGATCAGCTGTAGCAGCAAAGGGGAAGTGAAAAAAAAGCAGAGGTTTAGGACAGAAAGTGATTTTGTTTGAGATTGTGTTTTTTTTTTTTGTTGTGTGCATGTGTGTGTCAGTTAAGTTTAATGTGTGTCCTTTTCTCCCTCCCAGTGAATAAACAGTGTTGTCAGAGCCCCCCCCACACCCCCTCCTTGTGTATTGTCACTCAAGCTGATTGGGTTACGCCACTGCACCAGCTCCCCCTTTCCTCCCAACGCACACACACAGACACACACTCATGCACTAATCGTTCAAACAGACCACTCTCTCACTCTGCACTGCAGCGATCATTAGTTAACCACTCTCTAATTCTCTGTAAGTATTGCTCTCAATTCCATATACTCTGGCTAATGGAGCTGGTGAAGGGCTTTGTGTTAGTGTGACATTCACTTACCTTGCACTTGTTTTATTACCTGTGGAACGTTTAAGAACTATATTGGTCAGTTAACTCTCTTTAGATCTCAAGTACATTAAAATTTGAAATGAGAAGTCACTACAGGTTATAAAATGATTGTTTTAAGTTTTGCCACTGTTATGTAAAGTCAGTCACACTTCCCTTATAGCCATTTTGTCCATATGTTCCAGAATGAGTCTGTAATTCTGTGTCAGTTTGAATTTTTCTATGTAGTAGACTCTTAACCTGATTCTGTAAAGCCTAGGTTTTTCATGTTTATGGAGCCAACAGCAACAGTCTGCATTAGTTTGAAATTGACATTATTGCCATTAAACTCATTCATGAAACTCGTAACTTCACAGAAATAACTAGGTGCTTCCCAGAAAAACACCATGTGACTTATGGTGACATCAGTGGAAGCTCTGATAGCATGTATAACATGTGAGATACAGGAAGTTTAATCAGTTCATCATAATTTCAAGGAAGGAGCAAATGCAGTGAAACATGGTAGTTTCTGTATTTTTGTGTTTATGTTTAACAAGGTTATTTTTTAGAGCGCATAAAGCTCTGGAGTGTCTGGAGAGCAGAAATGCATAGAAGTCTGAACACAATGTTGAATCTTTTGTCAGTCTTGTTTGCATTTGTATTACTCTCTCTGTGAAGTTGTTGTATCCTAAGCATCATCCAACACATCTAATCTACCTCATATTTGCACTCCTTTTAAATCCATGTTGTAAATCTTTCCAAACTTGCAGAGCAGCTTATGCTGGCAACCGCTGATCTTGTTTCAAAGACAAGTCCAAAGAGATTTTTTTTTTTACTTCAGTTTAGTTGACAACACTAAAGTGGAAAATAAGCCATTTAATTTAGAGATTCTGTTTCTGGGAAACATAATCTTTGCTTTGTCTCATGAGCCCTTAAGTGGCACAGCCATATTTTCAAATATTAAATCTGTAAATATGTAACTCATGAGAAATACACTCACTATATTTTACTTGTGATTATATTCTGCAGAGTCAGTTTCTGTGTGTTGTTTCTTATTGCCAATTGCCATATGTTCCTACATTTGCTCCCCAACGTGAAGCAGATGGCCCCTCTAATTTCTGAAAGTAACATTTATCATATTCAGATCCCACAGAGCCTCTGTTTGTTAATGTGAACAGATGAGAAAATAAGTGCTCCATGTTGTAGGTCCACCAGACTGCATCATGTCCTGAAAGACTATGTCTATATGAGAGATAGTGAAAAAGACAGACATAGACAGAACATATATGTGCGCGTGTTCATGGTATTTGTAGATTATAGGGCAGCATCCTCCCCCAGAGGGAGACAGTAATTCTGATAAATGATGAGACACACTTGCTGAATAGCAGACCGCAATTGAATTGGTCAATGTGCGGCCTTGCTTGACCTTTCACTTCCGACTTTTCATAATGAATCTTGGGATTGATTTCTCACCGTGGCTTTGAAACATTGTTATGTTATGTTATTAAAATAATAAATGTATTTTCCACCCTCAATATCTACATAGAAGCTGTGGCAAACTATAATTGAATCCACACCGGTACTATATAACTGAAGATGGACTAATCTAATTCTAATTCTTATGACTACTCATAAGCTTAGAGATAACAAATATACCACTTTTAGTTATGGATATTATACTGTCTTGTCATACTATTCATACAGATCTGTTATAAATAATCTAGGTCAAGCTGATTTTGCTGCAGTTTTTAAAAAGTTCCATGTGTTTTCCAAACTCTAGACAGCAAAGAGTCACGTCGAGGGGAGAAAGCTAAAGAGGACGGCCTTCATGCGTCCACCGCCCACGATTCCAGTTACTTTGAGATCCCTACCAAGGAGGGTCACATGGCCAATAACGGCATCCATGAGATTCCCACTAAGGACACGGAGGGCAGCGCCACTCACTCGACTACAGGTGAAGCATATCTATTGTTCATTATGATTCATTATAAACAATAGTGGTGTAAATTTTTGTAAAAGGGATGTAAAATTTTGTGTCTGTCGAATCTCATCAAGTTGGCCTCTTTTAGAAATGTGTTAGACTCTTCCATGGCAGAATGAGAAATTTACAACACAAAACAGGAAGAGGCCATTGTTTGTCTAGTGTAAACAGAGAAGCAATCAATCTCCAACAGAAGCCATCAGCTGATTTGATCATATTTGGAAATATATCCATGTGCTGTATATTTCCATAATGTGATTATACTAAGAAGTCACATTTATACACCCATTTATACATTTTTAGGAGTGCTTCACCTCAACCTTGTATTTAGTAGAATTGACTGACATTGTAACAAAACAAAACTGCAACGTCTGCTCCACAGCCCAAGGTCACGCCTCCTTCACCATAGAGTTTGACAACACATCTCCAGGGAAAGTCACCATTAAAGACCATGTGTCAAAGTTCACTTCTGACCACCACCGATCTCGCTCCAAGAAGAGTGGGGCAGGAAGTGGAGGCACAGGAGGGAGGGACTTGAGCACACTTCAAGCGGCTATGATGGCATCAGAGAGCAAGGTGGCTGATTGGCTGGCCCAGAATGACCCCACTCTGGTACGCAGTGAGTCAACAGAGGACGATAGCAAGAGCATCAAGAGCGACGTGCCGGTCCATCTCAAAAGACTGAAAGGTGGAGCTTATTTTCTGTTACTATTTCTTTGATCATTTTGCCCTTCTTTCATTTCTCTTACAAAAGATTCTCATTCACAATCTTCAATAACACTCCCTCCTGAGTTATCTTTCACTTCGCCGGAATTATCATCATACTTGTGCTTTGCCTTTATATTACAAGATTTTACACACTATCTCAAATTCCCACTTGTCTCTTCCTAAACTATGTGGAGACTGAGTAGATTCTTTGTTAGGAACAGGGGTTGTTGGCAGTGGTAACCAAGCCAGGGGATTAGCAGCTAGCAGACAGAAACATTTAAACCCCTATCTACTCCGCTACTGCTCTGACAGCCAATGACAAGGCTTAGCATGAGTAGCATAGCACAGCCCTCGTTGAATTTCATTTTTTCACCATTTACAGTGTAGTCATATTATCTGGTGAGGAGCACATACTCTGTGCATATTCATCTTCATGGCAGTTAAAGCCCGACTACAGAGCTTTAGATGTGGGTTTTTGTTTGATTTTTTTCTCTTGCATTGTCAGTGTGGACATCTATATTTTCTCTGCTTACCTCTGTGGGCTTGTTGCTATGTATCCTTGGGGTAAGGATTGAGATTGTTATGACTGTAAATTGAGTGCTTCTTTATGTTTCTTTGTTCTCTTTACCTGCAAGCAGACAACTGCTAATTTGGCTCCTGCTGCCAGGAGTTTTTGTGAGAAAGTCGCATACAATGAGAGGCTATGCCCAGCTTTGTGCTGCCAGTAAAGGGAGTTTATGTTTGATGCTAAGCTAAGCTATGGTGGACTACATGCTGGTCATGAGTTAATTAAATGGAGGCCAATTTATGATGCTGTTGACATGCGTGGGGGGAGGGACCAGCAGGCAAGGAGCTGATGAAAATGGAAATCTGTGAGGTAGGAGTGGAAGACAGGGAATCTAATTCATTAGAGGGAGTTAGTACAACATGCATGTCAACTGGTTGACAGAATGTTGCTAACTGACTGACTGACTCTGGGACTGCTAGACACTGCAGTTTTTCCAGCTGAAGCTGTGGCTAATTGATAATTGATGAGCTTGCCCTTGGTGTTCAGTCCCTAAAAGAAGAAATGGAAATCAGAAAAGAGCAAGGAATGGACTGTGGTTGTGACATGGGTTACAGGAAAATAAGAACAATCACGGAAGACGGGGAAAAGAAGGGTGTAGTAAGGAGGAGAAGAGGAGGAGAAGAGGGAGGGAGAGGACAAAGAGGGATGGATAGAGGACAGGTGGACAGCTGGCTGGAAAGCTGCCTATTGATGCCAGCTGCGGACATGTGAGGTGTGAGAAAAATTGGGCTAGGAAAGCGGGAGGACCCCACTGTAACGCTGAGAGCAGCATTTGCAGCAATAACAGCAAAGGTGATTGGACAAAGGAAGGCAAGAAGGAGAGAGAGAGACAGAGAAAGGGAGGCTTGTTGCCTGGACTGCAGTGGAAGTGGAGAGGGAGGTGGCGAAGGAGGAGGGAGCAGTTTTTGGTAGACAGTTGTTATAGTAACAGTGATGCAAATGATGGCAGGGAAAGAGAGAATACAGACATATATTTAGAAAGGGCAAAAATTGGCAGTGAACATCTGTTTGTGTGTGTGTACGTGTGTGTGTGTGACGGCTGCAGGGGCATGTGCGAGAGACGCGTTTCAGTGCTGACTGATGGCGTGTGTGAAGCATGCGCTGCTCACATGTGGATTTGTGTTGCTGAAATTCGTCGTGTCTGTGTTTGGTGCATGTGCGCTTTTGAAACATGCTCAGCACTGATCTGCAGACAAGCAGTGCAGCGTGTGTGAGAAGAAGCATGCGAGATGTGCTTAGGGTGTGTCGTAGAGGTACCAGGCAGAGAGAGGCAGAGGTTCAGCGAGGAAACTGAGGAGGCAGCTGAGGAAGCTTTTGATTTGTGAGCATTAAGGTGAGTCCTTCTCTTCTTGCTGTAAGGAGCAATGTAGAGGGATACATCTTTACACTGTCTGATATTTCTGTCATGTGTGTATTATTGTAACATCTAAAAATCTATGCATTTTCCTTGTTAAAAAAAATGTGATTCTGATACAGGCTATGTTTTGAGATTTCAAGATTATTTTCTGTGATTTTGACAAAAGATGAGCACTTCACGTACAATTGTTATTCACTCACAGCAGTAGTAAAAGCTTAACGGACAACAAAGGTTGAACTTGAATATTATGTATTCCTAATGTTCTGTATCATGTGCTCATTATTCCAAATATGTTTGGGATTGCATGTTTGCTTGTCTGTTTGTGTGGATGTGTAAGTGCATCCTTGTGTTGGGCGCTCAGTTTTGTGTGCGTGTGTGTGCGTGTGCAGCCAGCAGCGGAGGCAGAGGGCAGCTCCACTGTGAGTCATGGTGGGGCGAGCAGGGCAGAGCACTGGACTCTCACAGACACCTCTGTTCTCCTCTGGCCCTGCCAACAGCTTCTTTGTCTGGGGCACACAGCATGAAAGACCTGCCTCTTTCTGTCCTCTTATCTGCGGATCTGCTCAGGCCACTGTAACGCACTGCTGCTTTCCTTTCTCATTCCTTCTATGCTCTCCTTTTCTTCTTTTTAATGAAATATATGCTTTATTAAATTTCAAACAGAGATAAAAGCCAGGAACGACAGAGGAGGAGGTGGATGGTGGAATGTTACAAATGAGCTGCAGACTCCAGTGTAGAAACAGTCCTGTCCAGTGATTTAATATTGTTCTTCAAAAAAGTTGGAGGACTCCAAAATGATTGAATCTAACAATTCCCATAATGCATGTTGTCTCTCATTAGAGTCTCCCTGTCATCTTCCTGTATGAAACTCCATACCCTCCATTTCTAGCGTAGGCTTTTTGATGTAAATTCAAAGTTTTGAAACCCAAACAGAGATAACCCTTTGTGACATCACTATGACATCAGGTTTATTTTCTCAGACTTTCTCAGCTCCTCTTGAAGCACAGAAGACATTATCCAACTGTTTCTATGGGCTGAGCACTAACTATGACAAGTAAACTGCGCCTTGTGTGAATTTACTGGAGACTCCCTTTAAATACACAGACAGATTTACTATCTATATTTATAGTAATAATGTAATGAACTGAGACATTGCTTCTCTCTGAATTGGACCAGTTTTGCACCTTGTCAGTCGCTGTTATCATTTTCAAATGTGCAACAATTGCCCACTGTTGTATGATTTTACACAAAAGTGAAATGACATCAGAGCATCAGGCTGATTCAAAATCCCCAGGCAAGCCGCTATGGTCCACTCAGCCATGGGAGCCCTATGTCCTCTTTTCTCTACTTCTAGCACTTTATTTATCTCTTGCACATTGTGGCTATGGTGAAAAGTCTTGAACCACTACTGGTGATTTAATTGTTCTGCTCGTTAACTGGGACAGATGTAGACGCTGAAGTTGTACTGTTGTTTCTTTTTGAGCATGCAATATTGTGGAGGAAGAATGAGATAAATGATATACTGTATGAACTTGCCAGGATCAGAGGCTGTGCAGTGGTTTCTGAAAGTGATGTGTGAAGTGGAAGTGTTTTCTGATGGTCATCCACAACAGCAGTCATGTGGTGCTCCACCCCCTCCTCTCACTGATACTGTTGGCTCGCTAACTGACAGGCTGATTGTGTGATGGCTGTCGACTCTACATTACATACAACACACTACATCCTGAGTGTCCTGCAGTTAAGATTTCCCCTATTCTCTGTTTGCCCTTTTCTTTCCCCCCTTTAATCTACTTTCTCTCCTTTCCCGTCCGCCCTCCTCCTTTCTTGCACCCCCACAGCCTCCTTCCCTGTTCACCCTCCCTTTTTTCTTTCTCCTTTCTCCTTTCACCTCCCCTCCTCCTTCTCTATCCCTGAAGCCCCCCCCCCACACACACACACACACACACATACATACTCACATCCAGTCTCCTTCTCTACTTCCCCCTGCATGTTCTCCTCCTCCCCTCCCCCTCATCACTCTCTCTCACTGTCAGTGAAGTAGGCAGGGCCAGTAACCGTGTGGGTGGCATGTCTGGATTAGTGTGGCACACTGTCTGCCATCGCACAACACTGAGAGGACAAGCTGATGCGACCCAGACTGATCAAAATGTAAAAATAGCAGTTATGTGGTAGGTAACGCAGGCGTTCATTAAGGGTCAAATTCGGGGTCAGTTTTGACAGTGGAAAGATTCGATCCAGCTGAAGGTTTATAGATCATTTCAGCTGTAATAGTTAGCAAACATTTTTTTCTTGTTGCGGTATCCACAATGGATGTGCTCTCAGGAAGGTGTGGTTCTGTGCTGTATGAGACTTTTCTCTTCTTCTTCTTCTTCTTCTTGGTTGCTTAATTTAGGTACACACACATTTGTACTGTGCAATTCTGCTGCATGTCTGTGTCATGTGTCTGTTGCTATGTTGCTGTTGTGTACACTTGTTATGATATGGATTTAAGAATGTTGAAGGTTTTCTACATAGTTACAGAGTGAGAGCTGTTGTTAATATTACTGTAAAACTAATCCAGGTAAACAAACATCCATTTCATTGTTGTAAATTATGAAGAGTAATATGAGCCATTAGAACATAAGCCCTTTGTTGAAAAAATATCCATGGTAGAAACTTATCTGCCATTTATTCTTTTTGTTCCCTGATAGGCAGCAAGCATGAGGATGGTACCCAGAGTGACTCTGAGAACGGATTAGGCCTGCGATTTGCCAACCGCCGCCATGCCCTCGAGGAACGTCTAAAAGCAGCACACGGCCACGTGGGAGTGGGAGGAGGAGCAGGAGGAGCAGGAGGTGGGAATGTAACAGTGAGCGGGACCCGAACAACCGGCACCCGCACTGCCTTCATGATTGAGTTCTACGACGAGGAAAACCCTCGCAAGCGCCGGTCATATTCATTTTCCCAGACTGCACCGTTGCTGGGGGCAGGAGCTGGTGGAGAGGGACTGTGTCCTCAGCCCCCATCTCACCCCAAGGTGTTCAGCATTTCCACCTCTGCTACTACAGCCTCAGATTCAGGTAATAAATCTTTAAATATTCTTTGACTCTCTTCTATGTGTGTGTTTTCTGAAGCAAAGGTTCGAAGTTAGAAGATATGCATTTGAAATATTCTGAGAACTACAGTTATTAAGAACCTCATTAATTGACAAAGGTTTTAGTAACATTAAACCAGTTAATCAGGAGCTGTTGTCATTCATTCACCACTAGTGCTGTTACACACAGTAACAGCTATGACCTTGGACATTTAATACCCAATAATTACTACATGTTGTTTCTGTGTCGTGGTCCTCTGTGAAAGCATGTTATGAGTGTTTTTCTAACTGATGTATTTCTGCTTTGTATTTGTTCCTATTAGGTAAAGCCCCAGCTCCAATACCGGCTACAGTGACTGTGGGTGCCCCCACGGCTGCTCGCGTGCTGCTCAAGCAGAGGTCAGAGGACCCGAGTATCGGTCGGAGCTCAGCCAGTACCGGGCTGGCGACCGGTAGCCCCACCAGCCCCAGCGAGGACGCCTCGGTCGTGGGGAGAGGAGCAGGGGCCGCAGGAGGAGAGGCAGAGGATGACCATAGCGATAAGGGGACATACACTATCGAACTGGAGAACAGGAACCCGGAGGAAGAGGAGGCCAGGCGCATGATAGACAAGGTAGGGATGATCAGAGAGACCAAACAGGATCATTTCTCTCCTTCTACCTCAGCTGCAATACATAGTCTTGACTGCAACGTCTTAATTCCAGCGTTATGAGACGTATCTGGAATCATACCACAGCTATTGAAAGACTGGAAATCTACTACAGCTGAGAGACAGAGAGATTTTCTCTTTTTTGCATGTTGTGCTACAAAGAGGGCATTGTTACACTGCACTCTAAAGCAATGAGTTTGACCGAACACAAACAGACCAGAGCAAGGTTAATAGTCTCTTTATTACCTGCTTCGTTGGCACTTTTAGGGTTAGCAAGTCCTTTGAGACAGTTTTTTTTTTGTTTGCACTAAAACAAAGCTATCGTTTCTCCATTGCCTTACTTGACCACCACTCCATCCTCTCTGTCCCATTGGTTAACCTAATGCTTCTGTAATAGCCCGGAGAGACTCACTCCATCAAGCACTGTCCTGTTTTATTAAACGAACGCTCCAGGCAGGCTGAAAAACCACCATCAGTTTCCTACTGCCACCCCTGTCCTGTAGCACAGTGCTCTTTCATGGTCACAGAAAACATGTCTGAAACGGGCAAAGCAACACTGAGAGAGATGGTTTAATGTTAGTTTCAGGCTGAGATTTAATGAACACTTCTCTAGACCATGTAAAATAGGAATGAAAAAGACTTTCTGTAAATAGATACAACAAAAGCAAAGATTGCAAAACCATTCTAGACACATGTTCACTTGGCCTTTTATTTGCTACCTAACAGATCTGGAAACTGGGGCTAGAATCTACTAATTTTTTAGGAAGTGAAGTTTTTGCCAGTAAAGGTTATTACACAGCGATACTTTAAAGTTTACTAAATGGTATCTCACAGTGGCACATATCCCTTAACGTGTTGTATACAGGTGTTATCTTAGGAGCAGCAGTGATATAATTAGTGGGGTGTATTTCTAGGCAGTGTTAGTCTGGATGCATTACTTTCAAAACTGGAAGTGTTGTTATGCTAATTCCTGTAATTAGGTGACACACTAATTGGCACACTGCTCACAGTATGTCCGCTCTCATTCGCTCTCCCTTTTGTAATTTTGTGTGTGTGTGTGTGTGTGTGTGTGTGTGTGTGTGTGTGTGTGTGTGTGTGTGTGTGTGTGTGTGTGTGTGTGTGTGTGTGTGTGTGTGTGTGTGTGTGTGTGCATGTTTGTCTGTGTGCGTGTTTGTCTGTGTGTGTGTGTGAGAGAGAGTGTGTTGCCATGGTACTCAACTATCAAGTGCAGATCAGTGCTTTAATTCTACAGCATCTTCTTCTGGCTGTTCAGTTCACTTTTGTTCATCAAGAGGACTGTAGAATAATATTATCACAGTGTTTACCTATCACAAGGGTATTTCATTTTCATTACAAAGTGTGCTACAGTATTTACATGTTTTGGGTGCATACATAATAAAGGCTAATTGGACACTACATACATACATATGCATGCATTACACTTCGGCAAAATGTCCATCTTTTGCCACATTTTCAGTTTTTGTTCCTTCCTGCTTTTTCAAATGTTTGTAGGTGTTTGGTGTTCAGCAGAACCAAGACTCCTCAGCTCTGTCAGACCTGAAAGGAGAAGGAAAAGGAAAGGAGACAGGAGAGACAGGGAAAGAGGTAGAAAACTGCGCTTTAACAGCTTCTTAGTCCAGTTTCTTCTCCCTTGTCTCTCTTCTTCTATCTGCGTTTCTCTGCCTGTTATATGCTCACCTATACACCAGTGTCCATCACTACAATACTAATGTTGCCCAAGATGACTCATTGTCCATGAATTTTGTTTGGATTAGCTAAATCCCATTGTAAAAAATGTCATTATCACTTTCAGTCCAGTGTAGTATAACAGTGTATAAGAAGTGGACTGAAGATTCATGGCTGAGGTTCATAATGTGAGTCACAGTCACTCCCATGGCTTGACCACTCTACTCCCCGAGCCTGCTAATGGGAGTAGGCTAGTCCTCCCAGAGACTGACCTAGATCACACTCAGATGAGGAGAGACATGCTCTGCCCTGCAGGCAATTTCATAAGAGGGAGCGTGTGTATGAGCATTGACAGCCCTTCTACTGAGTCTTTAATTTAGGTAGATGTCTTTTTCCAATTAAAACAATCCTCTGTTCAGTTTTTCCTAAAACTTTCTTGTAGGATGATTGAGGGTGATTTATTTGAAATTAGAAAAGTGTGTAAATGTCTACCTATGAGTCGAATATATGCATCAGACTGAGGCTTCCAAACAGCCTCAAATCTGACATATTTTGATTTTCCAGTAAAATACAAATACAGAAATCTTCAGAAGTCTTCATACAATGACCCTTCATTCCCACAAATTAAATAATTTCCATCATCATGTATTGCATTTCAGATGAAGTCTTAATGCCACTTTGTGCAACCATTGATTTACTTAGCTGCTCTCTTTTCCAGCTTTCTCACTCCTGTTGTCTTCTCTCTTGTCACCCCACCCCTCACCTCCCTCCTGTGTCCTCACAGGCTCTTCCTGGTGACTCGAGCTGGGTCTCTCAGTGGGCCAGTCTAGCTGCCAATCACACCAGGACAGACCCAGAGGGATCGGGAGCAGAGACAGCCACCTTCCTGCACAAAGAGAGAGGTACATTGTCACTTGACTCTCAGAGAATGAAAAGGTTTAATTAAAAGTTAAGCCTGATTTAATTCAGTTTTCAGATATATTTTCCCTTAAAAACTCTCCCCAACTTAAAAACATTTACAGTTTGTAAATCGTGTATAAATAAAAAAAATCTGAAATCTCAGTTAAGTGAGTTTATCCTTTGTTCTCTAGGAGCTGATGCCTTTGAGTCTGGTGCATCCCTCAGCAGAGGTGAATCCTCCTCCAGTTTGACAGACCGTAAGCGAAGGACCCTCCCCCAGCTCCCTGCGGATGACCCCCGGGCTAAATCCAGCACCAAAGCTCTGAGGTCTGAGATTGGTGAGAAGCAAGACACTGAGCCACAGGAAAAAGAGAACAAGGGAGACGGGGAGTCCCCAACTCCCATGGAGGGTAGTGAGATGACCAGTAAACGGAAACAAAGCTCCACTTCCTCTCCATCCAAGGCTCCTCTCCGGACCTCTGGCAGCAGTGAGCGGAGGAAGAGGTCAGAGGAGAGGAAAGGAGGAGGAGGAGGAGGAGGAGGAGTAGAAGCAGGAGAGAAGTCTGGGAAGCCTCTAGTGCGCCAGGGCAGCTTCACTATTGAGAAACCCAGCGCTAATGTCCCTGCAGAGCTCATACCACGCATCAACAGAGGCGGCAGTGGGCGCGAACGCAGCGACTCTGTGGGCAGCATGGATACTGCTACGCTCCTGAAAGACACTGAGGCTGTCATGGCATTCCTGGAGGCCAAACTAAGAGATGAAAACAAACTAGACCAGAAAATCAGTAAAACTGGCATCACCACTCAGGGTTCAGGTTCTGGCTTCCCCCTTCGGACTGACTCCATCTCACCTGAGTCAGATGTGGACACAGCCAGCACAGCTAGTCATGTGGCCGGAGAGGCAGACAGGAAAGCCGCACCAGGTGGTGTACAAAAACGGCGTTCCCTCAGCAGCATGCACCGGGAGAAGAGCAACATGAGCACAGCTTCCAAGACCAGCGTCACGAATGCAAGCGCCCGTGAGCGTTTGGAGAGAAAGACTAAAACAAGAACTGCAGATGCGACAAGCCGGACTGATGCACGCCGCTCTGTTCAGCCGTCCTCTGCCTCCTCCAGAGCACGCCAGCCTTCACTGGATCTCACTGATGATGACCAGACTTCTTCCTTCCCCATCTCTGACATCCTCTCCTCAGACCAGGAGACCTATTCTGGACCGTTGGGGCACTCGGCACATGGACGCGGCTTAGATGATGCCCTCCATTCCAAACTTGATAGCAGGTCTGCTAAGAACTCCACCAGTGGTTCCTCCAAAACCAGCCGCACTCTCCAGGCAGCCACAGCCGCCTCCCTGAGCAAGCAGGCGTCGCTGCCTCAGCCACGGCCAACAAGAGCCTCCCTTCTTCGCCGCGCCCGGTTGGGAGACACATCTGACACGGACCTCGCTGATGCTGACAGGGTGTCTGTAGCTTCTGAGGTGTCCACCACCAGCTCCACCTCTAGGCCCCCATCTGGTCGGAAGGGATTGTCACGGCTGGATATGCTGGCTCAGCCGCGTAGAAACCGTCTGGGCTCCATCTCAGCCCGCAGTGACTCAGAGTGCACAATGACCCGGAGCTCCACCTCTTCACCCCGCCTATCAGCTGAGACCGCTCTGCGTCTGGGCCTGCGCTCATCAACACCCACAGAGAACAGACTGACACCCAGGATGAGGGCCAGCAGCGTGTCCAAACTAAATGAGACCAAGACAAAGACCACTACATCTGGATACTGCTCGCCCACAGGTGAGCACATCCACTGCATACTGGTTTCTGGTTTATTCAGAGTTTTTGGATGTTGTAGGAACAAGGAGAAGAGGAACAATAAAATTCTAAATCAGGGTTTGTTACTTAAGTTTATTTTGAACTTATTATTGTTGGTCGTTTGCAAGAAAACAATGAATGGTGTAAGGATCACATCCAAAAGTACACCATTCAGTCTACACCATTGCACCTCATCATTGTGTCAGTGTGTAAACATTTGCCTGTAAACTTTCCACCATGTTGTGACGTACTTGTGCATTGGTTTTCATCGTCCAGAGAGCTCTCAGCCCGAACCTGAGGGTGGGGATGCAGAGGAAGAGATGATGGGTACTGTACCAGAACTGTAGCGTCTTCTTAGGACTTTGTGTGTGTGTGTTTGTGTGTCAGACCTGGGTCACAGCAATAGAAGCTGCCAGCATGCTCACCAAAAGGAAAGCAGGTTATTCATGTTCGAAGAGTTTTCATCTCAAAATGAGATATGCACCACTTGAAAAGGTGATGCATCAATAGATAGGCAAACTAAGCCCATGTGCTCTCAGCTAAAGTCCTTTTTTAAGGACTATACACACTTGGATCTTTCACTATTTTTTAATACTACTTAAATATTTCTCCAGATGTAAATTAAAAAGTGTAGTTTGTTGTGCCAGTACATTATATAAAGAAATTTCACTGAGTGCAATCGAAGTACGATGACCCAGCTCTAGCATATGTTGCAGTGTTAACTCCGTGTCTCCCTCTTAAAATCCATCAAATAATGTTGTGGTGAAGACCCAAATGCTCTACTCACACTCTATTTCTGATAAAACATTTCACAACATTGGAGCTCAAACTGCAAAACCCATGAGCAAACAGTTTTGGAACAATGCTCCACCTTGTGGAGATTTTTAATCAAGACACTTGAACTTGGTTCTGTTTTACTCCCGAGTGACAGAGCATGGTGTTGTCTCATCATGAAGCAGCTTAACACTTCCTGGCTCTATCAGATTTTGTGTTGTTGGAAGCTTTTGTTTGCTGCCTGGGCTGGGGAGTTTTTAGATGAAGTAGTCTCTTTTTGCTCCTGTTTCTGTTGTTTTCAAAGTAGTTTTATTATCACCAAGACATTCCGGCAGCTTGTCCATTAACAATAACTTGAGATAAAATACAATGCTTTGACTCACCATCCTTTTTTATTCATTGCTCCAATTGTATTTAATTTTGTTAGAACAAAGCAGGATTGACTAGGGGCTGCCTTTGTAACAAAGCCTCTCATGTTGACAAGCTCATTTATTAACTTCTTGAATAACAAATGTTGTAATGGAATGTAGTCCAGTAATATTGACTAAACGATTGTCTTCTCCTGCCATTACCCTCACAGTGTCCAGTAGCAGCAGATGGAGACGTCTGCCGCCAGAGTACGGCTCCACCTCAGAGGAAGAGTTTGGCTCCAGCCGGAATTCTCCGAAGCATGGAGGACGCTCCCATGTGCGCCCTCATCACCTCGTCCCACACCGCAGCTCAAGGCTCAGCACCACCGCGAGCCCAGGCTCTGCCGCGGTGACGGGCCCGGGTGGAGTGGGGATCAAACATCGTATGAAAGAGCAAGAGGAGTACATCAGGGACTGGACAGCACACAGCGAGGAGATAGCCAGGTATTGATCTGTGCTGAATTTAATTTTTCATGAATCTATTTAAAGTTTTAGTATGATGTTATAATGTTTAATAAGAGCCGTCCTGAATGGCTTAACTGCATGTGATTACAGGTTATTGTGTATGCAGGTTGTGTTCCTAAAGATGTCTACCCTGACTCCTAAAGAACCCTGTCTGATGGTTAACAGGTTATTCCCCTGTGTGCGCAGGATCAGCCAGGACCTGGCTAAGGACTTGGCTATCTTGGCCCGTGAGATCCACGATGTGGCCGGCGAGATCGACTCCGTCAGCTCCTCTGGCACAGCACCCAGCACCACCGTCAGCACTGCCGCCACCACTCCGGGATCAGCTATCGACACCCGGGAAGAGGTAGGCCCTGCACGTTCCACGCAGCCGGACATACAGGAGAGCATGAGAAAGGTGCCCGTTTTTCTTCTTCTATTATTACCTTACTGTGTGTGCTTCCATTGCGCCTTTGCCATCCCTCCTGTGTTGCTTGGGTTGAACTGCCTTGCCTCTGTTGCTTTGTAGCTTTCATCTGCTGTGAGAGGTATTCATTTACTACACTCCCTTCTGCTCCACTTTCATTCCTTTATTTGTTCATTCTTTTTTCTTTTTTCTTTTTTAATCAATTTTGGCATTATAGAATTAAAATCAGGCATATTTGCTAATTCTTCATTTCTCACAGATGTTTACTGATCTTTATTATGCATAGCTAGAATAATACTGGAAAGAAATTTCCTTAAGTTTTTGAATTTGAATTTATTTTCCTCCTCTCTCTCTTCTACATCTCTCCCCATCTTCTCCCAGTTGGTGGATCGGGTGTTTGATGAGAGCCTCAACTTCAGAAAGATCCCGCCTGTGATTTCAACCAATAAGGCACCAGAGATCAATGGTAAGCCGGTGGAGCTCCGCCCCCGTGCTCCTGACAGTCTGGAGCCCCGAGCTCTGAGGAGGCGCACCTGGAACCGAGAGGAGGTGAGAGGCAACACAAAGAGCATGACATCAAAACTATACCAACATGGAGGCTTTCACAAAAAAAATCACCTTTAGGTTGTCACATGTCACACTTAATTTATTTTCCTCCGTGTACTCAGGCGGTGTTGGACAGCCTGCTGCTCAACTCAGTTTCTCAACTGTCCTCTAAGATCAGACACTCTGTTGACAAAACCGCAGGAAAAATCAGGTAATTGCACTTTGTGATATTATAACCTTCTGTGAGTATATAACAGTGTAACATCTATCCCTGAGTGAGTCATTGTGTTGGTTTGTATAGCAAAAAGCCTTTGTGATTAACCACGTCCTGTTGTGTGTTGCTTTTCCTCAGGATTTTGTTTAAGGATAAGGACAGGAACTGGGATGAAATTGAGAATAAACTGCGATCGGAAAGTGACATACCACTTCTGAAAACCTCCAACAAGGTGCAGAAATGTGTCGGTATGAACAATATTGGATGACAAGAAAAGTACAGTGATATCGTAAGCTAACAGTTTTGTTGTTGTTTTTCCTCATCATTACACGTCATACAGGAGATTTCCTCAATTCTGCTCGAACTGAAGAGAGTTGAGAAGCAGCTTCAAGGTAAAGTAAAAGGCACATGTACACCTCTAACTTAATGACAAATGTGAGGAATGAGGAATATATAAGAGGGAAAGCAGCAAAAGTAGTGACAAAAATTATGGCTGAGTGATTTTTTTCAAAATCTTTAATCCAGGATGTGTATGTAGTGTATGAGACACATGACAGAGTAATGTATTATATGAAACATCCTTTTGTTAAAGCCCTGAACACTGGGCTTCAAATCTGAAGTATTTCTCTGTAACATTGAATGTTTATGACTAAACAAGCGGCAATAGCAAAGTAAAAAAAAAAACATCTTAAACTTCTTGTTGACCATTTAACACTCAAAAACCCCGTTAATCTGCTTCATCAGTATTGGGTGGGTGTAGTTTGACCAGATCTGAATGACAGAGACCAAACAATCCAGAAATTGTCAGCTTCTGATTAAAATGTTGTTAAATCCTGAATGGTGCACGGAAAAGCATGGGATCAACTTTTTCACTTCAAACCAGTAAAAAGAGCATAGAGAAAACAAATAATACAGAAATCTGTCATGTGAAATATTCAAAATTGGTAGAAAATAGTTGGTCATATAGGACGCCATCACTCAGTAAAAAAACAGAGTACAAAATAAGTTTAGGCCTTTAATACAATCCAAGACAGTAATCCAAAGTTTATTGTAGCAGTAAGTGTACATTGACTTTTACAAAAAGCCTTCCAGACACTGATTATCTTCCTCTCTCTGTCTCAGTGATCAATGTCATGGTAGACCCAGATGGCACTCTGGATGCCCTGGCCAGCCTCGGCCTGACCAGCCCCACCACCCCCGCCAAGCCCCAAACCACCAAAACAACTTCCCCCTCTGCCACCAGCCCTGGATCTGCACCGCCAGCCAAAGACTCGCTGCCAGAGATCCTTCCCGGTCCTGGAGGATCCACACCCTCCACCAGGGTCCAGGCTTCCTCTGCCAGCACAGAGGAAACTGCACGAGACCCCAGTGTGGGTCTGGGGTTAACAGGAGTCGGAGTACTGCCCTTCAACCGCATGCGGCCGAGCGGAGAGGAGGCCATCGCACAGAAGTGAACGTAGAAGTTTCCCTGAAATCAAGGCTATGTGAATAAATATGAGTCTGGATTGGAGTGCAGGTGGCTGGTAATCAGCATTGACAACAATGGGGCAAGTATAGAAACATTTAAACTGATTAGCTGACTATACCACTTTAGGATTATGGATATAATATGAAGATAATTTAGCAAAAGCATTACCAGACATGGCCGGAAATGAAGTGCTTCAACTTTAGACTCCACTGGCTGAACCCCAGCTGATGCATCATGGATATACCCTTGAATGGAAATTGACCCATGAATGATTTGGATACACGTCTTATGAGCTTTTCAACCTTAAAGGTCCAGTGTGTAGGATTCAGTGGCATCTAGCGGTGAGGTTGCAGATTGCAACCAAGTGAAAACCCCTCTCCTCACCCCACCCTGTCCAAGCCTGTAGGAGAACCTACGGTGGCCTTCAGGTAACGTAAAAACACGAAGGCCCTCTCCAGAGCCAGTGTTTGGTTTGTCCGCTCTGGGCTACTGTAAAAACATGACAGTGCTAAAAGGTGGGCTCTGTGGAAGTGGACTCACTCTCTCATGTAGATATGAAAGGCTCATTCAAAGCTAATGAAAATGCAATTCTTAGTTTCAGGTGATTATACGCTTATGAAAACATAACTGTAAGTATTATATTCCATTTCTGCCTATAGATCCCTATGAATCCTACACACCAGTCCTTTAAACTATTCATGCTGACTGGCCAGCCTGACTTCCGGATGGACTAAATGCTACCTGGCTGCTCTCTCAGTGGACAGATCTCTGTGGCTGTACAGTCTCCACTCTTCCTCCAGTCTTCTCCTCTTGCCTTCTCCACGTGTCAGGACCCTACCTACACTAAGGACATGCCTTAAAACACATCCGCGATAGTAGCAGTGTAACCCTTGTCCCTTCAAATAATATACAAGACAACTTTTAAGACTTTAATACAGTAATTTCAGATAAAACAGAATGCATTGTAAAATAACACTTGCAAAAGATGTTCTATTTACACTATGATGAAATGCAACACTGCAATAATTTATTAGCTCTTGTTCAGTACAAAGAATATTTCAGCAGCCTTAAGTAACCACCTTGACAAACTACACAGTCATAAACAGACATGCTTTATGCCTGAAACAGTTCACAAATCAAGCAGAAGTTTTATATATTTCATAACTCTAACTGTCCGTCCATTGAACCATCTCTCCAACTGACTCTGTTAAAAAAGATTTGTAGTGCCTCCCCATCTCTGTGCTCACCTACCTTTCCTTCACCTATTATCTGTTACTCTTCCCTTCCCTTCCTCTCCCTCCCAGAACTTGGAAAAAATGTTACACCAAGTTTGTCACTTCAGTAGCATGTACAGGACGGAGCTGAGAGCTTTCTACCTGCCAGTTGGTGTCTGTGTTGATATTACTAATACTGAATGGTAGTTTACACACAATAGTAACAGCCTTTGGGAAACCAATGATCATTTTCAGTCAAAGTAATCACTTACCAAAGTAAACCATTTTCTTTATATTGTCATTTTCAAACAGTAGAGCCATCTTGAAATTCATCTGTTGTGCAAAAGCTGATATAGCAGCAGTTCATACTGTATGTTTTAGATGGAAGCAAACTTCCTCTGAGATTCACCTCTTTCTCTGAATGTCAAGACCCTTTTTTCTGTCAACAAATCAAAGATGCAAAAAGCTTATTTATTATATTGAGACACTAGTTTAATCATTGCTGCCATACCTTTCTTTGACCCATGTGACATGAGCTGTCAGAATCAGTGCTCTTAGCCTTTTGCTATAGTAAATCCACTCAAGTGTCCTATGATTTCCAATTGGCTTTTTATACTTTCTTCAGTCACAGGCGACGTGACTTCTTTTTAAAATGATGCACTGTACTGATGAGCAAAGAAAATAAGTGTGTAAACTAAATATTTTATAATATTTAGATACTGGTATTGTAGATGCAACAGACCTTTTCTTTTTAATGATTTAAGTCACCTCACAATAAATTTCATTTTCTTTATCTGTCACTAAACAGATTGAGCTCATGTACACACAAAACCTGAACATTGGGAAAGCTGCTGGATCTAGTTTAATTAAAGTCTTGTCAAAAAGAACATGGGCGACTAACAAAGAGGCCTTTTGTAGTTCAACATGTTTTCTTTGAGGAACGTCAGTGAGTAGAAATGATCACATCTTGCTCTGTGGATTTCGCTTGTACTACAGCTTCATATCAGTGTATATACAGAAGGTGCAACAGGGGAAGTTCCAGCATCCTGATCCTGTAGAGCTGCAGACAGACAGTATAGTTAACCTCTTTCTCATTGACTTTGCTGCTTTTCAAGTTACTTTATGGGAACTAACCATTTTCTGAATCTCTCTTCACCTTATAGTCTGTGTTCTAGAGTAAGATGACTTAAAGGCAGTGTATTAGTACTTAGATATTCTCACAATAGTGAATTTAGGTACCAGTATACAAGTTCACTTCCTTCTCTCTATACTGTACTGTACATTATCGTTCAATGCCTCCAAGTGCCCATTTTGACAATAGAAGGGCATTGATTAAAAGAACAAAAAAGATGTTAGTTGTCTAAAAAATGATTTTGCACATCAGATTGTGGTGTTTTTTTCATACAGAAGTAGTGAAGAAGCAGTGAAAGGCTGCAAATGTCAAATGGTTTGACAAAGAATGATATCTCTATGCCTGATATCAGAAGTGACTGCCTTGCCTCTCTGGAACTATTGTCTGTGCAAACGAAGCCTCTAATCGTGTTACTTGTTTGTTTTTTTTCCCCCATTTTATCAAAAAAAAGAAACAAAAAAACAAATGGAAAAAAAACAATGAAATTAGGGGACTGTGAATGCTAGGTACATGTTTATTTTTTAAATTCTACATTTGTCATCTGATTAGTGTCATTTTTGTAAAGAAAAAAAAACACCATTTTATTTATTTTTGTTTTAATATTTTGTGGATGTTTCATGTATTTTATATTTGTTCAACTATCTGCATTGTTTCTTACTGTTAATAAAACAGAGCCATTCACTTGTTTCTCCGTTTTCATGTAACTGGGCACTGAAACCTCGGCTAGAAGATGGAATTGGATGACAAAGTATCTGATATTATCTGATCTGTCTTTCACTAACATGCTCACAAAAGGCACCGAGGGAAAGAGAGCATCAGTGCTTGAAATCCAACAGTAAAAACAATAAATAACACATTAGATACCAAGTTATCTTCATATTTTTAAAAGACTGCATTCTGTAACAGCGTGGTCTGAAGAATCTTAGCTGAAGAAAAACGTGACTCTCTGTTGGTGTGAAATTGCATTTTATTACCATTAGTGAATTTCAGGGTTTTGTTTGGCTCTTGTTTCACATGACAAACTGTTTTAGTTTACAATAGGTTACAGTACGAGTTGTCAGACAACAGATGTGAACACTGATGGCAGGATGGTCTGTGCCGGGAGATGGAGGTTTAGCCGGGGGGCCACTCCATCCTGCGTCCACCCAGGACGTGGAGGTGGATGTGATAGACGGACTGGCCTCCATCTGGCCCATCATTGACGACGACCCTGTAGCCTTTAGACAGACCCGCGTCTTTAGCACACTTTTTGGCAACTATCATCAAGTGGCCCAACAACTAAGAAACAAAGAGAGAATTTATGAATGACAATGAGGTGAAAATGCATATATGTATGCATAAACATAAGCATGCAACCCCTGGATTAAAATATAATATTCAGGTACTGTAGATGTCCAGACAACCATTAAGTTGGCTGTAAAGGACTCCATCTATTGACATAAATCTGTTTGACAAATCACTGAAAGTGGGAATGAGTCATTTTACAGTTTAAAATCAATGATATCAATTATAAAATCATACTTACTGCAGCATCATCGTCCTCTGCTTGTGACAGCTGAACAATTGGCTTTTTTGGGACGACGAGGATGTGTGTGGGAGCTTGAGGAGAAATGTCAGGGAAGGCTACACACTGAAACACAAAAGAAGAAATTAAGAAGAATTTAGCTTTGGCAGACAGATGTGTGGTGCTGGTTTACTCTGACTGACTAGAAAATTAGAAACATCTATATAATACAATGCAATAGATACTTCCTCAATTTGTATTCTGACTTGCACTTTAGTTGTTTATGTGTTGGGTCAATATGATGTACTGCTGCATTTTGTGACGATGTTTTATCAGACTGTATTCTACTCAGAGATATTGTTTATATCTTGTCCATCTCATTTACTGGACATATATAGAAATACTGATAGGTTATCTTCACTGTAGTGTGCAGGACACATGGTAGTGCTGTGAAACTAAAATTCTTGGTAATGACACAAGAAGAACATGTGTCTCAATATATATATTTTTTTTAAAGCTGCTATTGGCCATTAGTGACTATACACATAAATTATTTGTGCATCTTCGTGTTGCATTCAGGGTCTCAAAGATCCCACATGGTATGATGCATTTTTTACAGATCAGAAAATCAAGGGAATCAGACATGGCTTATTACAAAGCAAAATCTGAAAAGGGAATCATGGCTTAAATATCTGGTTACATAAAGACAAATTATCATCATTCCATATCATCAGTAACAACTGTCAATTCGCACAACAGTAATGTTTTCCTCTATGACATGCAATGCATTTAATTGTGTCATTGTTGACATAAAGTTGTGCAGATGCCATGGGCACTACTTTTTTCATTCCATACCCAAAATATAGAAAATAGGGAGTGAGTGGGCACAGCCTAAGTCTAAATGATCCCAGTGACTCATCTCTAATTATTAAAAAAGTAGGAGCAGAGCTGGGATTTCCAACTGTAAACTAAATGGTTATATTATATTAACTGTCTTTATACACCCATGATATCAGTGTTGCTGTAGTAACCACGGCAACCACTACTCATCATGACAGGGCAATCAACATTGCACACGCAGGTTTGAATAGTTGGGTGCAACCTTCTGTCCGAATTTGACACTGGCAGCATCACATTTAATGTTAAGATGCTTTGAGAGCTCTGGTTCACAGATTTTGGTTTCATTATCCAAATCACAGAAATAATAACACATTGATCTGCAGAGGCAACACGTTACAGGGATTTGCTGCAAGAGCAGGCAGACTTGGCCAAGTGAACTTCGTCATACTTCGGGGGAAAGCCAACTGCCTGCAGATGCCAAATATGACACGAGCAACGTAACTTACTAAATCTAAACCGTGCTTTGTTAAAAAACCTTTTTACTGCTTGTTCTGCTTTAAAGCAACATTTCAGCAGTCTGTACTCACAGTGCTGGGCCGGTTTTATTCTCTAATAAACGACTCACTTCTGTGAATATTCACAAAATTAGAGTACAGTAGCAGTTTCTGCAGAGCTAACATTAGCTAAACGGCACTTGCGCGGCATGCTGCCACTAATAAGTGTGACTTATGACATCCAAATTACCTTATATGTGAAAATATTTCATGCATACCTTGTCATCCTCATAGATTAAGTTGGCCGGAATCTCCTTGCGTACGATTTTTCCAAATATCGTGTCTCCGCCCGGCCGGGCAGTCTGCGCTTTCGCCGTTTCATCAGCCATGTTGGCGCAGATAAAGTGAGACAACACCGGTTGTGGAAAATGACTACAAAAGTGCCTTCACTTAAAAGGCTGCTCTGATTGGTCAACATTAATACTTCCTGTACGCCGGAAGTGAACTAAAAAAAAAGTCAAGATGGGGACTCGTTTGAAGGTGAGGAATCATGTTTTATCAGAATAACATTATCAAAAGTGTTTCCTTCATGTAGCTGCCCTCATAGACATGTCTATTTCGTAGTCAATTTGCATGTGATTGGAAATGGATAGCGAAAATAGCGGATAATTATTAATAACTGACAAATGTGCAAAGGAAGCCACAAAAATACAGGATCGCACTGACATGACAGTATGCGTTAGTAAAACAGAGATAGGATGACCATAATGAAGCATATCCTGAAAGAAAGGTGTCAAAAGCAGTTGGAAGAAGAGGGAGCAGGAAGATGGTTGTACAAAATTCAAAGGAAAGTCGGTATGATGAGATGCACAGGGAGAAGCAGGTGAGGGGGGTCACGGTCATATCCAGGCTATGGTTTTGTCATAGAGGATAAGACTGAATATCCTTTAAAATGAGAAAACATAATACAGGAAGGTGTACAGTTTGTGAATAAGTGACCAAAATATGATGCTGAGAGGTGGGAGCTGATACTGAACCTTAGAGAAATAAAGTTAAAATTTGATTTTAAGCGAGCTTTTACATAGAAGTTGGAGATAAGTGTTTTCTTAACATATCTTGAACTTGATAGAGAGACTTTAATTTTGTAGAATCCTGATCCACACTAGATAAATAAAGAAGAATATCCACATTTGCTTCAGTCCAAGTAAGCTGATTGTCTGTGTAAATGCAGGTCCTGAGCCTGTTTAAAGCACTGCACAGAACAAGGACAGTTGTATTCAAAGATGACAACAGAGCACTGACAGGTGAGTTATTTATGATGTTCACCAACCAACTCTTAATGCATGCTCTGCAGTATCAAATTCATAACTTTGTTTTCTTCCACAAGCTGCAAGATTAAAGATCAACGAGGAGTTCCAGAAAAACAAAAATGAAACGTCAGATGAAAACATTAAGAAGGTACAGTTTCCATTTCTAATCCAGCATTATTACTCTGCTATTTAAAATATCAATTTAAAATATATATTTCTTGTTGGAAAGTCCAAAAGTTAAGTCAAAAGTAGCGGAATCCTGATCACATTTTGCTCTTGATCCTGATCTAACTCCTTTCATATTAAATACCTGTCAAAACAAAGTCCAATGCAATATATATTTTTAATTTTCTTCTTTTATTTTTTTCCTATATAATTCACAGTGAGGGCTTCAGTAAGCATACATAAATCACAAACTGATTTAAATCTGATCATAGCAGAAGAGCTCTGCATCACAGTTTTCTTTGATGGTTTCCCTAAAACAGACATACAACAGCAAAACAATGACAATGTACATAGCAGTTTTGTCTCTCACAAATGAACAAAAAATTATTTGTATGGTGGGAAAAAAAGAGTTGCACTGTCTTGGAATGACAAAACTATAATTTGTTGCAAACATAATAATAAAGATGAATTTCTATAATATTTTGTGTAATATATGTGGAGAGGTGTGTAGTTTGGATCTGCTGTGGTAGCTTTGGAAAGGATTTAGAAAGCACCTCCAGTGTGAAATACTGAAGTTCAACAACACTTTAGATTCATGGTTAACCTGCAAAATTCCACTGAAAAAGATGCAAAACAGTGGGGCTACTGATACATTTTACATGTTATTGCCCAGGGCCCAGTTGTCCCATAATCAATCTGTGTCTCCAGTATGTCTCATAACCCCTCTGTTTCTACAGATGATCAAAATGGGCACAGATGTGGAAACTGTTCTTCGAGAGTCTGTGGTACAAATGGAACATGTTGGAGAAAAGAAACTCTGTATGATATTGTTTTTCTCCTCCACTGTCTTTTTCAACAAATTTGGTACAATGCTAGAAAATAGCACATGTTATGCAAAAGAATATACATCAGGAATCATAACTTCTCTCTGACTTATTACAATTTGATGAATTTTCCTAATGATATGTACTTGCTAAGTTTTTTTTTCTCTCACTCTGTGTTTCACAGTGCTCCGACCCAGAGAGGACCTTCTACTAGAAAATGTACCCTTTTGTGACCAGCCCAGGAAAAAGTCATGATGGACCATAGGACTTTCTCATCAAAAAAAGACTCACTGTCATCCAGTGCCATCCATCTGCAATTTAAAGGATTTATCCAAAACAACATTTTAAGTTGTTCAGGTCATCGCTGCATGAAGAAGTGACCATTTTTGCTTCACTGAAGATCTCAACTGCTCCGTTTTAAGATATCTGTGCTGTTAACTGGATGATGTAATCTCATGTACAGTATTTTGTCAAATGTTATTTAAGTGTTTTCATTTAATTTGGAAGTCTTCTGCTTACTTCTCAGTAGCTCATGGTTCAACTGAACTACTTTGCTGCTACTGAAAAACAACATGTCACTGTGTTCTGATTAAAGAGAAATATTCCCAGGTCATCTCAGATTTAAATTGTTGTTCAAACCAGTAAAAATTACCTAACATAATGGTGGTCGAACCTCAGGGCAAAGACTACATTTTAAGACATGTTTGGCACACAACAGCTAGTGGATCAAACTCAGGGATGCAGGGTAGTTTAGATGGAAATATTTTTATTTTCCTATGACACTGGACTGAAGAATATAAGGACTCAACGATCCAGCAGTAGGTGGCGATAATGCTCCATATGGTTACAATTTTACCATAAAAACGAAGAAGAAGAAGAAGGTTGAGCGTCTGAATGTAAGCACTACATTTCCCAGAAAGCCCTTTCACTGATGATTGATTACGGCATCAAAACGCGCCGTTACTCTGGCAACGTTTGTGACGGTTTCCTTCGGTTGAACCCGAGTTTGTCAACTTTGTTTGTAAAATATCACGTTTGATGCCAAAAATAAGGTGAGGATCCGTTTGTTTGCCAACGTGCATATTTGTTTAACATTCCCACAGAAAATATGACGGTTTTTTTCGAACAACGCAACGTTTTTGTCTTGTGTTTGTCAGCTCAGACACATTATGGGAGCTGGCTGCGGCGGAGGTCCGCAATCGGGAGAGCGGAGGCGGGGAGGAGGACGGAGGAGAGACGGTCAGCGAAAGGACCGTGTTTCTGATGGGGAGCAAGTCTGGGGTGTGTTTAGCGTAATGTTTACCGTCGTGCCAGGCGACAGATAGTCGTGCTTTTTTTGTTATTAGCTCACCTTTGCTTTTCTTCCAGGGTAAAACATCCATTCTCCTCAGGTGCCTCGACAGGTGAGTATGTATGTCTTCCAGATAATCAACTCACAATTAGCAAATCCACCGTCATGACAAAAGCAAACCTGCATTTAGTCTGCTATCCATGCAGATTAATATCAACATTATCAAATAATATTAACACAATGAAATATGCCAGTTTCAATAATACTTAACAATAATACTTTGAGCAGGGAAGTTCAATAATCCTCTTCTTCAAAATGACACCTGAGCCAGCTCAAAAAAGACAGTGATTGGGTTGAAAGCACTGAAGCCTAGTAATTGGATCTTTTTGCTTAGATTATGTTGCTACACAGTAATGAATTATACTTTTTTTTTTTTTTTAATCCACCAGGGATGAATCATCCAAGTCAACTCTGGCGCTGGAGTACACTTTTGGCAGACGGGCTCGAGGACACAGCACAGTAAGGGGGCCTTTTCAGTTCTGGACACTCTGGAGTCTTAAAAAATTGGACGATGACACACATGATAGTCCTGATAAGTTGTGATGGCCTCAAACCATGTATTTTTCATATAAATTGATAAGAAGGAGTTAATCCTTGTAAAGAGCCACAAATGACTGTAGAGTCATTCATTGCAACTTACAGTTCTCAAGCACATTTGGCACAATGCACCAAGCTCCCGAGTTCTCAACTGAGAGTTGATGTGTTTATTTGAATGCGTGTACAGTTGAACATATAATGGCTTGGTGGTTTCCACTTTCAGCCCAAAGACATAGCCCACCTATGGGAGCTGGGAGGAGGGACCTCTTTGTCAGACCTGGTCCAGATCCCCATCACTCCTGTCAGCATCAGGTAGGCCAGTTTTGCACATTCCTGACATTGAGTATATCACTGTTGTGATATGTTCTAGTGAAAGGGGGCAGTATTTGACATGTTCTGAATACGATTATTATTTATGTTTCCTTGTGTATATTGTCCATGTATTTTTTCAAATCAGTTTGGTTTGAACAGCAGTGTCAGGCCAGTAAAATCAAAGAAAGAGTCCTTCCTTTCTTTTGCAAGGTCTCTCTCTGTCATCCTCATTCTGGACCTGTCTAAACCCAATGCCCTGTGGGGAACCATGGAAAAGCTGCTGCAGGCAGCACAAGCTCAGTTGGAGAAAGTCTCTTCCCAGGCACAGCAAGCAGAGAAGGCCAAAGCTGCAGCCAAACACCAGACGCCTGTCCACTCAGCAGCACGTGTCTTACCTAAAGACTATCCTGTAAGGCCTCAGCTCATTAAACTCAACATAATTTTAACATGATCTCTGCTCAGTGTGACGCCTCTCCCACCATCTTGGAGGTTATCCTGGTCAACGTCAGCAGGCAGCCGGGAGGGTGGTCAGCTGATGTCACCTCGCCTTGTCACTTTCTCCTCTCTTCCATGCTCTGCTGTCATGACTAACCTTTAGTTGTAAAAAAAAATTAGTTTGTTTTTACTGTAACCTTTACATGGACTCCCTTCTTGTCACATTCCTCGAGCCAGTTTGTGACATATGTAAAAGGCAACATATAGTAGTTCACAAAATCTTCAGTAGTAGTAAAGTTTTTTTGTTGATGAAAGGTGATTAATTCATTTTTAGTCTAGTTAAGATATGAGCTGCAACATGTCTCCTGAGTTAACTGTTAACTCCATTACCAGGACAGAGAGCTGATCAGTCCCTTTCCTGTTCCTCTGCTCATCATTGGCAGCAAGTATGACATCTTTCAGGTAAAACAAATGCTTGAATCTAAACATTACCAGTAGAATTGGTCATGTTTCACATCCTTTTAAAATACCTGTAAAATACACAATTTAATGCTTTTCCAGGCAGAGACATTGTTAAAAATGTTGGTACATTGCAGTTAGTTACATGGTGTAAATTGTAAATTCAATCACTGAGCTTTTCTCTTTGACCCTGGTAGAGTTTGTGTAACACATTTACAGGGAGATTTTTTCCATCTGTGTTGCAGGAATTTGACTCTGACAAGAGGAAAGTGGTTAGTAAAACGCTGCGTTTTGTCGCCCATTACTACGCAGCCTCTCTTATTGTAAGTGTGCTTCTACTATACATGCAACGAATTTACATTTAATGTTACTTAAATTAAAACATACTTCAGTGTGCACATTTCACATTTTCACTTTTTTTTTTAATTTTATTTGTTTTCTGTTGCTGTTCCACTTTACTTTTATTAAATTTTTCTTTCTGTTCCTGCGCATAATCTTTTCATCAGTTCACTAGCATCAAGACGGAGAGCCTAATGTCAAAAACCAAGAGCTTCTTCTCCCACCTGGCTTTCGGTCTGGACAGAGGGTGAGGAGGATAACACAACACTGTAGTAGTGGATGAGGATTGGGCCTGGCATTTTTTAGTTTTTTTTTTTTTTAAACCTGTAACTTTAGTGTTGACACTAATAGATTTCCTAACTGCATTTAACATTTAACTTGTATATTCAATTATATAACATACAACAGGTTTTCTCACATTTTGGGCCTGTGCTGTGTACTCTCTTTATAAGAGCTTTTCAGGAGACCGCTCCAAATGGCAGAGAAAATGCATTCCAAACCAAAATAATTTGATGTATACAATGATGTACTATTTATTCAATTGTTTAGTTTTAGCTTTATTTTTTTTCTTTTCTTTATGTTGTGATCAGGAAAACTGTGTCCTGTGACTCCACCAAGCCTCTCATCATTCCAGCAGGTTCTGACTCCTTCAGTCAAATAGGTGAGCTCAGCACCATCCAGTGGCAAAGAGCAGTAATGCATTTAAATCGAAATCAAACGCTGTTACCATGCTGTTTTGAAAGACATACACCTGCCCTGACCAGGATTTACTGGTATGCTGTTTAAAAAAAATGCTCCTGTTATTTTAGGTTCTCCTCCTGCTACTGATGTGGACATAACTTCGCTACATGCCAAAAACCCCAAGGATCTCTGGAAGAAAGTCTACGAGCGTGTCTTCCCCCAAGAGGTAGTTCACTGGAGGCACCTTTTGTCTTACAGTATTGAAAAATACAAGTGATTTAGCCTCTAATGTTTAAGAAAGTTAACACCCTCATACGGAACAATCACATTCATGTACACTGCCTGTGTGTATGTGAAATGCAGTATCTCTTCTTAGAAATATGCATGAACATGAACAAGCATTGCCATAAACAATCAATTTTTAATGTATTTCTGTTCATCTGACTGATTTTGCAGAATACCAGTGAGCGGAGGGAACTAAAGGATCCAGCCAAAGACCCACAGTACAGTGAGCCTCAGATTGACGCCATGCGAGCCCAGAAAGACCAGGTGAGACATGTTGACAAATCACATGAATTAATTAGAAATTCCTGTTCACGCATCTGTGGTGTCACTTTGACCTTTGATCTCCCTGTGTTAAAAGGGAAATGAAGAGTAGCATCTATGACAGAGAGCCATATTTTCTAGTTGAATAAGAGGTTAGATTTAATGAGAGCCCAGGCAGAGTGACAATTCAGCCATAAACTCCGGAGTAAGAAGCAGCTTTTCCTGTTTGTTGCTATCATTTCTTTTATATTTTGTCGCTGCTGCTCTCTCTTATTATTATTATTATTATTATTATTATTAACAATGAGCTAATGGACACATGAATTTCCCCTAGGGGATAAATAAAGTATCTCTCTCTCTCTCTCTCTCTCTCTCTCTCTTGGTAAGGCATATAAGGTATAATGACACTTAGCCTCAGACTGCTCAACATTTTTATAATGGTTATTTAGAACATTTTATTTTATAAACAATATGAAGACCTTACTTTACTTACTACAAAAGTGTATTCAGTTGTTGCGCTTCCATTGTCCAAGCAAGGCAGAATTAAATAAGAGTTCACAGATACTATAGATCTGCTGTTAAACTGTCTCTCTGCACCACACCTGTCTTAAACAGCAGTAATGCTCCAAAGTAACCTTTTGTTATCCAATATCCTATGAATATTATTGCCATTGTTATGATGTCATAAACAGGCTTTAATATACCCTGTGGTTATAAACTTAGACTAATAGGCCTCCTGCTCTCTGCCTGCCCGGGTGCCACTCTGGCACTTGAACTGCAGTAACCTGTCCAAGTCATAAATTACTGACTGACTCTCACCTGATGCTAGCCATCTAGCTATTCCATTGGATGATGCATCATATAATTGGTCTAGGCAACCAGTCAGAGAACTAGGGTAATGGTGAGAGACAATGAAGTTTGTGAAAGCATCTGTTTATGTCAGGAAAGGTTGTAAACTGATATCTTTCGTGCAAACTGATCCCAGTCTTCAATGTAATGCAAAGAGATAATATTCTTCTAAAGCATCTGTCTGAACTTGTGTACCCTTAGCCCCAGTTTGTGCCCTATAAGCATTATCATTCCATTCGTGTCACAGAGCTAAGCATCTGTTTTTCTGGAAGATAAATTCCTGCCATAGATTTGAAGCCAGAGGTGAATGTCTCCTTACTTGAGAGGCCAAAACTGCTGCCTCACAAGGTTTCAATTAAAATGTATTGATGTATGGTGTTGTACATCACAGCAATTTACCTTACTGTATTATACCAATTATGACTATATCAAAAAATAACTCAGAAGAGAAGAGAGATTCCTAGGTCATCCTTATGCATTTGACCAGATTTTGCATTGAAAGCCAGTAATGATTGTCATACTATTATTTCATAGTTGTTGTTGATACACTGAAAAGGTTCCTGGCTGCACCCCAATGTCATCTGGGACTCCAGTTCCCCGACGACCCTCAAAAAAGAATAAGCAGTATAGCTAATGCTACGCTAAGATGTTTGGAGTTCATCATCTGTTTGGTTATACTGAAGTGTTCTAAATGGATCACGTGTAGCCTGTGTTATGAACATTATGTTTTAGGTGCCCTTTATCTGCATTTGTATTTGTATGTGCAGGAGAACAAAACCTTGTTAACCATTCTGAGTTTGCAGGCGCCTCTGAATCATAGCATGTGTCTGTGCAGTTGCCTGCACTTTCTTTTTAAATCAGTCTCTCTCTCTGCACTTGTCTTTCAGGAGTTGGAGCAGTATAAGAGAAATGCAGCTAAGTCATGGAAAGGACTGGAGCTGGAGACCTGACAGATAATCAGCTTTATGTTCACGCACATACACCACACATTAATGTACATATACACATTGCATTATTTATTTACTGGTGTGTCATTGCATTTTGTTTTTTTTTCTACTTATTCAAAAAATCATACAACTTGTACATCTGTAGTGACGTTTTCTTCAAGCTATTTTTAAACACTACAAAACTACTTGTACAGTGTACTGATGCTAAAATGTGTCCTAGAAAAATAAACAATTTTACATTATTACAGGAGGCATCACTTTCTATTAATAACACATTGCGATCACAGTTTTTAAACAATAAAGGAATAGATGCAATACATGAGCAGCATTTTAATGCCTAGAATGTGAATATTGCTCTGGTACTTCATGATAGACAGAAGTTTGTCAGTCAGTTTTTGCATAAACTTTACACAAAAAGCATTAATTTGACAACAGTGCAAATATTATTTGTTCTATTCAGAAACTGTTTGTTTAAACTATACAGAACCACAGAGCCTTAGGTTGAATCTGTTAGTTGCTTGGTTGATTTGTGGTGCTTTTTAGCACTGGAACCACTCGGTGGTTTTGCTGTCATATCAGATGGTTCAAGTCCCAGTCAACACACATTAACCCAGCTGTACTGCACACCTTGCACCCTGCACTGGGATCTTTTTTTGAGAAACAGAAGCTCTTTGTACTGTTACAATTGGTCTTAGCTATACAACACTTCATGCTTTAAAACTTTATGGTAAGTGCTTACATAGAAATGTAATATTAGAGGAAAGTACAAACACAGATGATGTACTAGCAGGAGCAGCAGTACTTTAGCATACCTCATCCTCTGTGAATAACGTCATTCTGTAAATATATGTTCTGAATCTGTTTTGTGTCATCTGAACCAAACTCACTTCAGCTAAACAGAAGATTCTCCCACAAATGTGTGTCGGTGGTTTTAATGACGTACAAGCTTGTCTCTGATCTTGAAGCTGATCATCCCCAGCAGCAGGAGCGCAGGGAGGAAGGAGTAGAGGAGAACAAAGTCTAGTGTGTATCGGGACAGAGCGCCAGGATAGCCTTCATCAATGATCTGACTGCCGTGAGTGATCACACAGGCTCCCGGCAAAGATTTGGAAACATCTGCAACAACACAACACACCAGAGACAAAGAGTTAACAGTTATCTGGTTTCACAGACGCAGCTTCAGTTCAGGGGCAGCCAATGAGTTTCCTTCAGTCTGTCCTGCCAGGTGTCTTTGAACACTGAACCCATACTTAATAAGTCCATCTTAATTAGTGTAATGATAAAATGTAAAATCCATAAATGAAAATTAGTGACTGCTGATAATCTTTAATCTTGCAATACACACACGCAGTTGCCAGTTTATTAGGAACACCTAGCTGAAAGTAACGCAGTGTGATCCTGCATTAAATCCTCCTTCATGAAGGATATAATGTTCAGTTTCAGAATTTGGAGGATGTAGTTCGGCTGTTGAACTGTTTTGCATTATACAGAGAGGTGGTTCAGTTATTTAGCCTTCACTTGTTGATATAAACAGGGGTTTACAAATGATGGAAACTCGACAGCGACAAAAACAGTGTTAATAGTAGAGCTCGTGCTGGGATACAGTGTGTGAGCTATAAATACAACTTTTCATTCTAAGGGTCAGATGGTTAAAAAACAACTTACTGCATGTGAAATCGAGTCCGTGGAACTCGGTGACTATGAGCAGCTCACAGCTGTACTTCTGGAACGTTAGGTAGCTGAGCCACTGAAAGACCATTGGCATGTGCTGGGTGCTTCTGTTGAGAGGGAGAGGAGAGGGAGAGGAGAGGAAGGTGTGTTACCAGTGGCAATATGCACTAAAATACCTGAAAAAGTTGCCTTATCAAAGGTCAAAATCACAACAACAACAACAACAACAACAGGCTTGGCATAAAGTGACTTTAATTTATTCATTAAATTAGAAACATTAGTATCTCACCTTAGGAAGCCAGATCCCACCAAGATCCCAGCAATATTGAGCAGAGCCACACCAGTGTTGACCATGTTAGGGTCTTGGACCACTCCCAATAGCACCACAGTCAGCAACTCACCTGAAGAAAATAAAAAAACACACTAATAGATGGGAACATGACACTAAAGGGGTCTCCACTCAGGTCACTGAAGTATACAGATGTTTCTAATATTTTAAATATTTGGGGTCTATCCCTGTCAAAGATTGGCAACAAACTAATCCTAGAGATAATCAGACCACTCATGTTACTATTATGTATAATACAGGTAATACTAAGCTTGATGAGAAGATTATGTAAATATATGCTTCGGACCTTGTTCATGTCAGTAAAAAAGAATATTTTCCCATTTATCGTATCAGCTCACCTATAATATGTGGTACCAGGACTACAGCAGTGAAACACAGGAAGCGCAGGCTGTCAGGGTGCATCCCCACCGTCCTGAGAGAAAAGCAAGCAGGACCAAAAAAATACAAGAGTCAATAGGAGAGTTAATTCTCAGAGAGCTTGAGGGAGCACACTGAATATGTGATCCATTACATCCTTGAAGGAGGTTGAATGTGCAGCTCTGAATTCCCCAAACAAAAACATATACTGTATGATGCTCCATGCCAAACACATACACACTTACTACCCACCAGTAAAGGAAGGAGGTGAAGATGAAGACACCGAGGATGCTGAAGGGCAGGATGTGGAAGATGTAGGCCAAGAACATTTGCCATTTACTGTACAGACCATCCTGACTCTCCTGATCACTGATGGCTCGCAGCGCCGGGACTGTTGAGAAAAACAGACAGAGGGAAAGAGAGCAGATAATGTGATGACATAAAATAATTTATTTTTAATTTATTTATTAGGGTAAATTAGGGTTATAAAGACCAGAAAAATATTTCATTACAAATCTTGATTTTTGAATCATCAAAAGATGCATCACTAAAACGAATAATTTGTATTGCTCTATCTCATCTTTCAAACCACCTTTTTATTCAGTCAACTCAGTGCCCCTGATTCTTGGAACAAACAGGCTGATCTGTTTTGTATCCTATCAGTTGTTATCTTTGAGATTCAAGGTCAGAATGATATCCACAATCACTACCTCTGGCTGTTTGGGTGCTTATGGAGAGCTTTTGATTACCTTTTAACTCCAGTGTGACTTCTGCTCAGCCCCGTGTTTTATTACATCTCTTATCATCAGTATCTGTGACAGCCACAACCCTAAAGCTGAGATTTTACACTCCACTGTTAACTGAGGGATACATTAAAGAGATAGTCAACCCGTATAACCAATATCCTTCACTGGTTGAAAATATGATTGTCCATATCATCTTTTAACATATAACTTGCGTGCAGAGCTTTTGTTAAAATAGATTCTACTAAGGCCTTATGACACATTGACTAAATATTCAAAATGCATTTAACCTTCTTTAACCTCAATTTAACCAGGGAACTGTCACTGAGATAAAAACAAAAAACAAAAAAACAACTCAAGTTGCAACTGAGACTTAACAGACCTCTAATTTTGTTAACTCTCCAATAGGAATAACATAAAGCTCCTAACTGTTCACATAGCAATGTTTTATGTTCTCTTAAAGAAAACAGTGTTGGTGGATTATAAGTGTGAAAGTTTGTACGTATTTGGGGTTACGTTAAGTCACAGCAACTGCTATAAATACCAAAAATGAATTTATCTAACCCAGAGAGACACAAATACATGTGCACACAGATTATATGGCTAGTATAGGTGCTGTAGGTCTGTAGGTAAAAGGGCACTTGGGGTCATTGAGCACTAAATAGAGTAAAGGTTATTCTCCCCTAGTAGCAAAATGCAACTCTCCAACAACTGTGTCAAGCCAGTGGAAAGTGGACAGCAAATAACAAAAGGTTATATTTCATTTTTATGCAAGTGCTCCATAAATTAAACCTATTCTGAATAGAAAAAATGTGTTTATACAGACTATTGTCCTAATCTATGACAGTTCTATAGTCTAATTTACAACTCATCGCTCAAACTCCAACCTAAGAGAGGCACTAAAAGCTCATGAGCTCAATTTTGACTCTTTCACCAAGTGAAGTCCAAGCTAGACTGTACACACTTTTGCTGAAGGAACCAAAAATACTGCAGACAGCAGACCCCTTTCACCTTCTGAGCAAGAGATAAGTGAGCTTAGCCAGTGGTGGTTCTAGCTTGTATGGTGCCCTGGGCAAATACCCCCTTCAGACACACACACAGAGGAACCATCGAAAGCATCCTGACACACGGCATCACCATCTGGTACAGGAAATGCACAGCTGCTGAGCAGAAGTCCCTGCAGTGGTAAACATATACACAGACTGGTGTGTCAAGAAGGCCACCAACATACTGTCCGACCCCTCCCCTCACCTCTCTGCACTCTTGCCATCTGGAAGGAGGCTTAAGAGCATACATGCAAGATCCACTGGACTGTGCAATAGATTTTTTCCACAAGCCATCAGAACTATGCACTCTCTCAAAATGCTGCCCCCTATCCCTGCCTCCAACACCAGAGGGTGACATGCACAAAACATGTACCAGCACTTTAAGTGTCCACTTGACTGTTTATTAAGGACACCTGTTTGCATCAGCACGTTTTTACATCTTATCTTGAGCTGCTCTTAGAAAAGGTTTTTAATTATGTAACATGTATGTTGTGTCCTCGGTATAATGTGTCTTTTGTTGTTTTTAAATGTAACCTGCAATCTGACTGGAGTATGGTATTTTGCTTCCATGTATGCTGAAATGCAATGTGAGAAATAAATCTGATTCTAATTCTGAAAAATACATTATTAAGAAAACCATATACAAATGTAAAGACTTTTAATAGGCATGTTGTTTTAATAAAGTTGCATTTTACTGAGTATTTCATATATGGTATGAACTTATGTCTTCGTATATCAAGAGTATGTATAAGTGTTATTATAATATAAACTCTTATATGGTAACATCACTCTTGATATGGGGAAATATATGTCAAATATATGTCATTGGTCAGCATACTAAGGCATGAAAACGTCATTGTATAGTAAGGGGTAAAAAAGTCATCAACCACTACACTATAATCCCACCTTATATATGAATCATCGCATACTCATAAGAAAGTCATAGTATAATAATACGACATAAAACGTCATAGTAGAGTAAGGCATGAAAACAACAAAATACCTCATTTTATTACAAAGCATAAAAACGTCAAAAAACGTCAAAGTGTAGTAAGGCATAAAACGTCATAGTATAATGAGGTATAAAAACATCAAAAAACGTCATTTTATAACAAGTCATAAAAACGTCAAAAAACATCATAGTGTAGTAAGGCATAAAACGTCATAGTATAGTGAGGCATAAAAACGACAAAAAACGTCATTTTATAACAAGGCATAAAAACGTCAAAAAACGACATAGTATAGTAAGGCATAAAAACAACAAAAAACGTCATTTTATAAAAAGGCATAAAAACGTCAAAAAACGTCATAGTGTAGTAAGGCATAAAACGTCATAGTATAGTGAGGCATGAAAATGACAAAAAACGTCATAGTGTAGTAAGGCATAAAACGTCATAGTATAGTTAGGCATAAAAATGACAAAAAACGTCATAGTATATTAAGGCATAAAAACGTCAAAAAACAACATAGTATAGCAAGGCATGAAAATGTCAAAAAACATCAAAGTAAAGTAAGGCATAAAACGTCATGGTATAGCAAGGCATAAAATGTCATAGTATAATAAGGCATAAAAATGGCAAAAAAACGTCATTTTATAAAAAGGCATGAAAACGATAAAAAACGTAATTTTATAACAAGGTATGAAAACGTCAAAAAACGTAATTTTATAACGAGGCAAAAAAACGTCATAGTATAGTAAGGAATAAAACGTCATAGTATAATAAGG